TGGATGTTTTTGTATTGTAAATGACGTCTTTAACGAAGTTGATGTATATTTCATTTTTCGTTACCAGAACTGTATGTGTATCAGAATACAATGATTTCAAAAGATGTCGGTATATTTCCGAAAATACCTTGTAAACCAAAATTCTATATAAACAAAGAATTTGGAAATAGGATTGGGAAGAGGTTAATGCAGAGGATTACTGTTTGATTTTTACACTAGCGGCTTCTGTAATTCTTATGTTGGAACTACAAAACTCTTTGGACACAATAGGCAGGGTGACGCATATTGAACGATATGGCTTGAATTCTTCATAACCTAGTTGTGGAAATTGACATCATACAAGTGGTGGCCACTTCCTGGTTCACATATTCGTGCCATTTCCATAGCGTTTTCTTGAACCGTCCAAAAAAACATGACTACTATTTTACTGCGAATGTTATCATTCAAACATAGACAATGCTTCTTTGCTGACTCATAGACAGATACTCATTCGAATATCTCCGGTGAATCCAGTGAATGGTAAATTAATTTACTGTCTGGATCTCATCCTCTCCGCTAAGCAATGTTTGTCCTCAAACAGACCCTTGAAGTGTATGATGGCTTCAGTTTAATGTCGATGGAACTACAGGGTTGGATAGTTTTCCATAGCTGTCATTGAAAAATGTTGCAGCATTGATTTTGAGCGGCTGTGCTGGAAACTAGACTTCTTGTCTTCCAGGTCTGAGAGGGTTCAATACTGACATATAATGCCGAAAATTTCGAGAGATCTGACTGATTATACCTTCATAAGCTTTAATTTGAAGTAGCGGCGACATGCATTCTGATGAAAAACAGATTCCGAAAATTAAAAGTAAATTTTGAGGCTTTTCATGAATTGATCCATCGCTTCATATCAAATCCTCAGGCCAAATCCTAAAAAGTGAATTTTGAAAAATTTGAGCATTATAAATAATTCGAACCATACCTTTTCTTTTGGTGCAACTTGTATCTCAAAAATAAGTGAGTTAACGATGGAGCTACACGCTTAGATATGTTCACATAGGAATAGATGGGAGTACTACAGCTACGGCTAAAAAATAAAGTTAAGTGGCATTCAGGGCCTATTTGAGCAAGTACACTGCAAGCTTAACTCTAACAGATGTTTTTACTTTTTACTTCCAATTTCCTTCAAATTTAAAGATTGATTATACCTTACCAAAATCGAAGATTGCCTGAGTGCAGATTATTGTATGCTCTCTAGTATATCTATGCCTGGTTTTATACTTATCGTCTCCAGCCCTTTCAAATTTTGCCAAACAAAAAAAATGGAGTGAAATTGAGTGACATTGAAATTCCTATATACGACTACAAAAATCGTACATGACGAGCTCTGGAAATGAGCTTTGTGTGTTTTAATAATTTTGAGTATGCCCTTAAATGATGAGGAACCTGACATCTAAAAAATAAAGTTTGCTGTTTCAGAATAGAAATTCTGAAATACAGATACAACCGATACAAGCTTTTTTTCTACGACCAAAAATTACTGATCATATTAGAAAATATTGTCTTGGAATTTTTGTAGAATTTTGTGCTATAAAATGTACTTGCTACACTCAAACTTAAATAGAACATATACAAATACACTTATTCTTTTAATTAACTTTGACGTCAATGCACCTATTCCGAAAATCTTAGTGATGCTGTGACCCAACAGACAACAAACTGGCAGCTCATCCAGAAAATATTATGTCTTTAGAATATTCATATGAAACCGTACTGTCACAGTATTTGCGTAAACATACCACAACCAACTTGAAGACATTTTGGTCTAAGTAAAAATACTACTACGCTAGAGTCAACGTCTTGTTTGTATCGAACATGCCTTGTCGAATAGTCAAAAATCGAACAAAGGCGATTAAAAGACCTGTTATGTTAGGGTTAAGTTACTAAACTAGATAAAATCGGTTCTGAGTAATCCCATCCAGTTTCCTTTTGGAGTTCCGCATAACATTAACATAAAATTAATATGAAGCGAATTCGCTCTATTGAAAAGCATAATCAAACTTGCTACTATGAGGAACACTAGAAATCTGCCTAGCCATGAAGAAAACAATTGAAACACACACGCATAATATGTAAAATGGTTCTAACCTTACTTTCATAATTTGAGTTAATTTTGATAGTTTCCAATTTAAAAGTGAATTGTGAGAAAAATGAGTAATGAGAGTATCGCAATGTTACAACATTTTTGGCAAGCGAGGGCCATCAGAAGAAAATTTCTTTTTATAGAATGGTCGCCGTTTATGGGGATGATGCACCATCATTCCACAATAAAATTTTGGTCGAAATAGGTTCTATGGGGACGTGAATTCATAGAGGACGATCCCAGAAGTGAAAGACCCAAAACAGCAACAAGTATGAAATAACTCAAAAAGGTCAAACCATGGTCCTCGAAAATTGTTGTGTGAAGGTACATTGGTATAGCATTGAATATATTGGAACACCTTAACAATAATTGAGCAGGTTGGAAATTTCAGAAAGTCGTTTGGAAACTTTAACCAACGATTCTGACCTTTTGGCACAAAATGTGACGAGTGACGAGACTTGCGTGCATCATTGGGAGCCTGAGACAAAAACAGAATCCAAGCAGTGGGTTCATAAACGTTCTCCACCCTCAAAAAAAGCACGAATGTAACCATGTGGTGGAAAATTAAGGGCAATAGTTTTTTGGGACATCAGGGCCATCCACCACATTGAATATATGCCAAAAGGGACAACAATAGATTCGGATGTCAATATGAACACGCTGAAAGATCTACATAAAGCAATCACCCAAAAAAGACCCGATTTTTTTAGTCGAGTAACGTTTTTGCTGCATGACAATACGACCGTGCATAAGGCTGCCAAAATTAAACCAATTGTACAGGAAAGCACATTCAAAGAGATAGACCATCCTCCAGATATTCCGAATTTGGCTCCGTCTAACTTTTACCTTTTTACTTTACTAAAAAAAATTCGAGTACGCCGTTTTTTGAGAGTCAAGAGAAAACATTTTTTTTCTAATGGTATAATAAGTTCACTGAAGGAGAAATGGCGCAAGTGCATTTATGTAGGGTGGGGATTATATTCAAAAATCAAATAATAAAGAAAAATCGTACGTCTTTTGTTTCAGGGGTAGGTAGATTTCAATTCTAGTATCTCTCGTACCTACCCAACCAGCATTAATGAGAAACTGGAACCGGGGGGTAATCTGGATAGCTAGTAGTAGATAGCACTACTTAGGTTGTAGGTTATGATGAAGTCGCGAAAAAAGGTTATCTTTCTCTCAAATCTATATTTTTCCCATCCACTTTTGACAATTTCACCAACAACACAAGCGCCACTTAGTTGGACATGCTATATCAGATTACCGGAGGCGGTCAAAGTGGTACCACTAGTTATAGATTACTTTTCCTATATATTTTGTATGGCGCAAACGTGAACTCAAGTTCAAGTGGTCTTTCTTGAGTCACAAGCTGAGGTGATGCTCAGAGCTTGGCACCTAAGCAAGCCGAAACCGATGATCCCGGTTAATTTATCGATTATCGATTCATTTTGAAAAACGATAAACATCAAAAGAAAAAATGAGAAACATCGGTAAATAATCGATTAAAAATATCATATAAGCTGAGGGACTGAGGACGATTGTCATATATCCGAATTCGGATATTTCCGAACGATACGTCTTTCCGCTAACATTTGTTTATTGTAATGTGTGTGCAACACTCGTCACTGCAGTCGGGGTGCTCGGTCTATAGTTCGTCAAAATATAGAGTAGGAATACGCAACTTATGATAAAAAAATTACCACTAAAATTTATCACGATTAACTGTATGGATGAAAAGGTGGTCATTCTATCTAGCTGCACAGCAGTAACTGAACGGGGCTTCCAAAACACATCAGAATAGAAGCAAAGTTAATTCCGAAGTGCAATGATAAAAATAAAAAACTCGAGGCGAACTGAAGGAAAGCATGGAGTTAATAGTTGCTGCATTTATAGGATAGGAGCATGAGTACTGATAAGGTGCATAATACTTAATTAATTTTTAGTGCTATGTTGTTGAAAAAGGTATCAACCACAAATGCATAAAATATCAACGTTCGTATGTTGCTTGATTTTACAAACATGTAAACAATAAAAAAACAAATCATTATAAAAGATTAATCCAAAATTTTGTTAGATTTTAAATTAGGGTACTTTATTTTTAATTCCAGTAAGAAATGCATAATAAATGTAATTATTTTTTTTAATGTAATTGTCGTTTGTTTTAGGTAGTAAGTAGAACCATTTTCTCTATACTATACGTAATGGTTTTCAATAACTTTTCTTTTTCGATTATCGGAAGTGTTCGATAAATGCATGATGCCCTATTTGTGTCCAGGTTTTATCGTTATCCGGACGCCGTCGGCCACTCTCCATCATCAAATAATGGATATTCTTGCCACTCTGGTGTCTGCGGTTTGTGGCGGCGTGTAATAGCTGTGCTTGGCCACTAGTGGTGGTCTAGTATGGAGCGCTCTGATCTAGATGTGTCACATGTTACATGTTATTCTTAAAATGTATTTGAAGATTTTCTAAATATAATGGAACGCATTAAAGATTAAAAACAATTGTCTGGAGCTCATAATCACGTTGAACTGAATACATTTTTATGTTCCATTAGTAGAGTAAACAAAAAATCTTCAATACCTACTGTTATCCATGATAACTGTTTTAATATCTATATTCAGATTATTATCAACGCTGCCGTATTATTTATGATGTACGAGGATGGGGTGAAAAGTTTCCGACCAGACCAAGAAAGACGACGTTTTAAATTTTTGTTTTTGAATACATTCAATGTTATAGCTATGCGAATACTGACAATATGGCTAGAGGTTGCGGTATTTTAGTAATTCTGACGATACTAATAACGAAAATTTGTATCTTTACTTTCTTTCTTTCTGGATTTGAGAAATGTGTATGTAATTTATATTTGCAGGGTTGGATTTTATTGAAGGACAAGGAGAAGACTTTGAAAGAGCTCTAGAATATACTGGTGAGTATGTTTATAATTTGATCTTACTGTTTGGAAATATTCCTAGAGCAGAAAGTGAATCCGAAAACAGCAAATAGTTTCTATATGGGTTCTAAAATGTCCTTCGAACAATATACCAACAAAGTAAGGATGAGGTGAAAGTACTACACTATTTATTCTGAACGTACTTTTAAAGCAGAATGGCTTTAAGGTTTTTGTACAGATCTTACGTCTATGTTCAAATCTATTTTTCTCTTAAATGGATAAAAAGTTCAAAATTTCCCAACTAGTGGAATTTGAGCCATGAATATGTTTGTATATAGGTATTGGTTGCACTGCTCATAATATACATATGTACAAAATAGTTAGTCCATACGTTCATCCACACAGGGGATGTATGTTTTCTTGCTTGGTGAATTACTAATTCAAACGTTATATATCGGTATAGTGACATTTTACTACCTACGTTTATAGATACTTTGTGTATTCTTTCTGGGCGTATTTTCCGCTATTTTTTTGAATCATCCTGTATGTTTTTGTCTTTGTAACCAAGTGTATATAGTGCCGTCTTGGAGTGGTCACTACGGTACAGATCTAACAGTCAGAGAACAGATAGCAAACAGATTACGTAGTTATTTGTTGTTTACAGTACTGAGTCAGTTTACTTGACACTATTTTTAATACCGCAAAAATGCAGACACTTGATTTTCAAACAAAAAATATGATGGAAGAATTTATTGTATGCTCAAGCTGTCAGATTAAACATTTTTATGAATGCTCAAAATGGTACAAAAATAAAAGCATTATTTGGCATCGTTACAAAATATTCTGTACAAATCAGTTAAAGTATTTGAATACCTTGTTGTTAACATATGCGTAACATGAAATTTTCTGGTTGGAAAAACAGCTTTTGCATAATGTTATTGTTTTTGGAAGCAATGAGATGTTTAAATTTATATCAATGCTCGAGCTTGTATTTATTTGGGGTAATAAATAACGTAGATATACGTAAACCCAAAATTTCCCCATGCATCTATATAAATCTTCTATTAAATAGTAAATAATATAACTTTTGCTAATATACAGAGAATGTATGAATTGAAAAATAATGATGGTATGTCTGGGACAAAAAAAATACATTCAGAAACAATTCAAAAATTCTTTTATCATATCAATCTGGCGGAAGTTGAATTAAATTCCAAGTTATTTTATCGCTAAGAAAATCAATATCGGCTCCTTTTTTAGCTCTAAAATACCTACAGATTAAATTTTCTAACACCACAATCAAATGATCAACATTCACAAGTTATTGCAATAAATCCGCTAAGAATCAGACAATTTACTACTTACCTTAATTACCTCAAATCGCATGACACTGACCTCTAACACTATGATGGATACGTAATTTTTATTATAATTCCAAATCAAAATATAGCAGATTTTTTATGTTATTGCAGTTCTTTTGAAATAAAAAACGGTTTTATCTGAAAATCTACTCTACAGCTGAGATAGATCCTACGGTAGTTTTATAATAATAGAACAAAATCATGTTACTGCGATTTGGAAAAATAATAAAAATAATTTCTGTTTAAAATGCTATGCTACAGAGGAGAGAGGAGGCTAATAGGTGCAGAAATTTTATTCAGAAGTGACTGTCAAAATATATGCGGTTTGATCGTTTTGTCTGTTCTGTTACTTTTTTTTTTAACAAGTTTGTCTTCCCCATTGTCACGTTGATTTATGTCTCAGTGCCCTCCCTATATTACAAATCTAGGGTTTTCTTCTCTTCAAAAAGCAATCCTTAAATATCTCCTTGCTCAACAACAAAAGTATTTGTCGTAGAATTCACGACTGCAACAGTAAACTTGCTCTATATAACCCTGTATCTATAAAACAAGAACACTAATGTTAACATTTCCAGAAACAAATTACTTCTGAATAATTCATCATAACGTTTTGTTACGTATCACCTTCGTTGTCGTTTAGTGACAAAAATGACCACTTCGACGCCGCCATCAAGTATCCAACCTCGCCTGACAATGATGGATGCATTTTAATAAGTTGACAGTATAAACATATCCATATTATTCATTTGCGCGCCAAAGGCCAGAGGGAATTACCATGCAGTTTTGGCACGTTTCAAGATTTTGGGTCAAGTTCTGAAGACTGTTTAAATTTCCGCGGACCACTTACCTTGCTGGCGCGTCTGTGGTGTTTTGGTTTTCAATTTGCATGCTTTTACTGGCCTTGCTTTGGTATACTGACTGCCAAAAAATATAAATATTATCACTTCAGACTTTTTGACAATTTTATGATAGGTATTTGAAAAATGGAGTCGAGTAGATTGATTCAGTGCCTCGCACGTATTGAGATAAATTCATTCAAAATTCTAGTTTAAGAACATAGTGAGCGTTATTATAAAAACAAATTTTGACTGCAACCCTCAATCAAAAGTGATTTTAATCGGTATGAAACACAGTTATAACTGATTTTTGCAGTCAAAAATGGTTTTGATCTAAGTTCTTTTTCTTGCACGGGTATCATGTGAAAGACCTATAAAACGTCAACGTATAAGATGTCATCTTACAAACTAGGTAGTCTTTAGGGCGCAAACACTCATTTCACGTTTGCTCACTAGGATCGTTGTGAACGTCCATCTATGAAGGAATCATTCAACTAAACTACACGCATTATTGGTTGCATATGTTTTGTGAGGCCGAGTGGTCTCTGTCTGTAGTTTTTATCTCTGAGAAGTAAGTTGGTTGAATAGCAAGATCGCATCTGGTTGATTATGTATATTGGTCTGCATGTGTATAAAGTCAGTGATATTTGCTGTGTGAGAAAATCATTACTGAATATGCTGCCAATGAAGTTTATCTATTGGCTGTGATATTTGCTGTGTGAGAAAATCATTACTGAATATGCTGCCGATGAAGTTTATCTATTGGCTGTAGCCGACGGGTTATTTTTATATTGTGCTTTCTGAAGAGACGCTATGTTCAAAGTTATAAATTACGAAAAACAGAAGAATTACGGGAAATCATCACCGCGCCCGCGGTTAGCATGTACATATATATGGCTTGTAATTCGACAGTGTACAGTGAATATAATTACTTCTTATCTCTCTCATTTTTGAAATACAGCAAATTTGTATATGCAATTTCCAGAATGGATGGTTTCGCATTTAATTTCTAGCTTTGAATCTCAATTAAGTGTATCTGAGACAAGAACCCAATGTAATTATCATCAACACATACAACTTGCAGCTTAGACCTCCAGTAATGCCATATCAGAAGCAGATTTTACATCACATCAGAGCCAAATATTGATAACAAGCCTCATGACGTTTAGGCAACACGTACAACTAAGTGCTAAGTTAACATCTTGTAGAAAAACCTACATAATGTCAAAAAAACAGTATAATGTCAAAGAAAATCGATATAACGTCACTTTTCAAGATACATGATACCCGTGCGAGGCCGGCTACAGACGGGAACTAAGTGAGGCAGTTGCCTCTGGGCGCAGTATCACGGCGTGGTACAAAATTCTCAATTGATGTGGGAGAAGAGCGCATAATTTTATCCTTTGCCTCGGGGCGCATAAGAGACTGAAGCCGGCCCTGCCTCGCCATTGTCATTGCCAGGTAACGCGGTAACAACGCTTATACAGGGTGACTTTGAAGTTGAGTCATTAATTTTCTGATAATGATTGTAGAAGGAAGATAAACCAAAATATGTGTGTAAAAATAAAATAAATTAAAAAAAAAAGTTTACCTTGTTTTATAAAGTATCCTCCCGACAAGTATTTCAGTGCGGACCTGTATTTGATCGTGAGGTCTTGGAGCACCGGCATGCCGTCCCCTGTGAGGTCTTAAGTCACCTGATTCACGAGCCCGTTGTACTACATTAACAAAGGCACGAGGGGTTGGTTGCACTCGATTGGGAAACCGATCCGCATAAACATGTGCCATTTTTTATTTTGTTTGAGCCACGCAACAGACACCACTATTCACTCACGCGTTACCGACTGACACTGACTTTATTCAACTGAATAAAATAATTGTAAAAACATCGTTCCAAATTCTTTCGCTTTTTTGTTTCCTATGCGATGAACCGATAAGGCGGATTATATCCGTTGTTGCCAAACACGAGCACATAATATTATTATTGAGACAGGGCGGTACTCAAACTTCCAAAGGGCTGTAACTTTGTTACTTTAATTTTACCAGAAAAATGGTAAAGGAAAAAACATTTCTTTTGATCAGATCTACTCACTGTTAAAATAAATGACTCAACTTCGAAGTCACCCTGTATAGAGTACTCTTTATAACACATTTCTCTCGCTTATCTCCCTCTCTCGTACACATGGAAATGTTAATGGAAAGACGATTTTGTCCAGCACTTCATATGTAAAGATGAAGGCCTGTTGTGACTCGGTCTTAAGATCCCAATTTGAATTATGTAAAGATCAAAAATTGCATGTTTTGTTTCAGGTTTTGGAAAGTTTCACTTCATCCTTTTAACAGTATGCGGCCTAATATACCTCAACACTGCAGTTGGAATAACCATCATATCATTCGTGCTCCCATCAGCAACATGCGACTTCCAAATGTCATCTTCGGACAAGGGATGGCTCACCGCAGCCCCTATGCTTGGTAAGTCAATGTGTATTATTTATATTATAACATACTGAGTTACAAGGAAACTAAGTAACTGCATAAAATCACCACAAAATTCCGATAGAATATAAATAACTCTAATACGGAACTATGATTTCTAAAGTTATGTGTTTCAAATAGTTTTTATATTAAGGCTGTCGTAAAGCCAGGTGTCTTACGGTGTTGGCTGCTGACACGGACTCGAAGGCTCGCAGGTTCAAATCCCGGAAGTTACGTTTCGAATCGTGGATGTTGTGCTTGTTGATACATACTAAGTGACATATAAATCCGAACACCCAGTTTAAATGGTTTTATTTTAGTAAAAGTTGGTGAATATATTTATCTTACTGTAAATAACAAGTGAAAAAATTGTCAGCCTTATCAGTTGGACATTCCGGTTTTTATACTGCTTTTTTTTAATTCACTAACGCTCTAAAAATGAATATTTCAGCCGCAGTAAAGAATCAACGTTGGCGGATTTTGGTTCTTGACATCCTTTGCGATCGGTTACGATGCCTAGAGTACGGAGACCTGTACTATTTCGTCAACTTAGTTAGTTTGATAGGGGCCGTATAGTGGGACTTCGGGAAGCTGGACTTTCTTTTCAAAGAAGTGTAGACACTGTGGTTAGGTGTTGTCAGGCATGGCTTCCAGAAGGCCGTACGCAAAGAGCAAGGGGCACTGGACGCCGCCGTAGAACAACAGACCGTGAAGATCGCCGCCTAAGATTATTGGCCTTAAGGGACCGTTTCTCCACTACCAGGTCCATTGCAAATGAATGGTTTGCAGAACACGGAAGACCTATTGGCATGCGAAGTGTTTACCGACGAATGAGAAGTTTTGGCTTGTTTTCATACCGGCCACACTGGGTCCTCCCTTTAACTCGAGAACACCGACTTAATCGCCTTGAGTGGTGCAGACCACGGTCACTCTGGGATCAGAAATGGAACAGTATTGTCTTTAGTGACGAGTCTCGATTTTGTTTAGGCATGCACGATGGTCGTGCCAGGGTTAGAAGGCGACGTGGTGAAAGGAGGAATCCACAGTTTTTTCTTGAAAGACATGTTCATCACACTGTTGGAGTTATGGTTTGGGGTGCTATAGCTTATGGTTCCAGGTCACCATTAATCTTCATCAGAGGTAACATGAACGCGCAGCGTTATATCCACGAAGTTCTAGAACCCCATCTTTTACCCTATCTTGACACCCTGGCAGATCCAACTTTCCAACAAGATAATGCCCGACCACATGTTGCAAGAGTCACAATAGACTTCTTTCAACATAATGATGTCACATTGTTACCATGGCCACCAAGATCTCCCGACTTATCCCCAATTGAGCACGTGTGGGATATGATGGGTAGGAGATTGCTCAATTTGCAACGTCCTCCTCAGACTCTAGAAGCACTTCGAGAGGAGTTGGTGGTTGCCTGGATTGAGATACCACAGGAGGACATTGACCACCTGATCAGAAGCATGCCTAGGCGCGTTGGAGAATGCGTAGCACATCAGGGTGCATCCACACATTATTAAAGGTCAAAGGGCTTTAAAGCAGTGCAATCATTTTGAAATTTTTATCATTTACTTATTATGCTTCATTAAGTACTTATACAAAATTTTATTAAAATAAAACCATTTAAACTGGGTGTTCGGATTTATATGTCACTTAGTATATGTAAGCACCAGATCGATGCAAGTTTTATATCAGTAGATAAGTATGCGTACAGTGTTGGTACAGTGGAACCAGCTGAAAGGGTCAAAAGTGGTCTAATAGTTTTCAGGCTCCGCCTCGTCACTACTACTACTATTACGACTCCAGCCGTAAAGCCACAAATCTAAATTCGAAAGTACCACGACAGTTATAGAGGATTATTATAACGGATGTTAGATTTTTGAAATAGCTAAGTACTAAGGAAACCCGCAGGATTACGTACAAAAATCGATAAAATGTCATCAAAAATCGGTATAATGTTAACTTGTGTGCTAACTAGTCACTAACCCACGCCACGCGCACTCACCGTGAACGCCACCTATAGAGGAATGACACGAGGGCCTATAGTATAGAATTTATGTTACATCACATCAGAGCCAAATCATAAAGCTCAACTGTCATTACGTTTAGGCAACATGCACAACTAGTTTTGGGAATGTATGCTGCTCATAGGTTTGACTATCAGAGCACATAATCAAGATTATTGCAGCTGATCACTTTAACTCATTTATTGGTGCAATTGGCGTTCCAGACTCCAGACTATTAATGACACATCAAAACTTTATACCGTATCATCTCTTAAAGTACCTACAAAGCATCGCATTGTACTTCGTATTGTTGCTACTCTGAAAAATAAACACCTGGAATTGCATCTCAGAATACGGCGATTCAGCTGAAATCGTACACCACGACCTTTGGAATAATTTAATGACGACTTTATGAACAGATACACGTCGTAATTGTACATTGTGATTCAATGAACTGCAGAAATGGGTATATAGATCAATTTAACAACAATTAAACCTCATGTCCTTCGAGGCTATAAGTTAAAAAGAGCATAGGTGAATTTATTCTCCAAGTTAGGTGACAAAGAAATTGATGATGGTAAATATTGGAATATCCTCGACAATACAAAATTTCCTAACATTTGACAAGATCTGGAGGAGACAACAATTTGTTTACTTTGATTGTTAACGCTCAGTTTACTAAACGTCTTGATTTGTGATAAATTGTTAGAATGTAATTCAATATTATTACATGTTCTATCTCTAACACCTTACAGGAGTTTCTATTTATATTTGCCACTATATTATTTTTAGTAAAAGTGAGTAGTTAATTTCAAAGTTATTATAATGAATATTGCACATTTCATTAACTTTACACCTTTCCATTTTTAACGAATTGTTTCACATTGAATGACTTTATTCATATCAAAATGTAAATTATCCTGCGCTTTACAACATTTCGAGCTCGAAAAATGATTTAATTTAATGATAGCCATCTTTCGTGTTCCGAAACATTAGTGGGATCGTCATATTTAAAATTTATGAAAAAAATAACACGGAACTTAATGACTATGTCAGTTCCGAGTGGAAAAGGAATAGAGAAAGGGTAAAGTGAGTCATATGTTTTTACTTGAGTTAGAAATACTGCCACAACATTCATTAACGTATTCTATCTGAATATAGCCAATCTAATGCTATATTCCCGCGTCCAAAAATTGAGAAGATAAAATGAGAAACGGTAGCGCCATCATTGAAAATTTGTCAAAGCTGTTTCACTATTTACTATATGTACTTTGAAAACGATAGTTTCTCAAAGATCCCTCTGAATAATCGTCTATGAGACACTATTATTTTTAACGTGTACATAGTAAATACAGACACAGCTGTGACAAATTCTCATATCTCGGTTAATTTTTTGGACACGGGAGTATGCCATCTTCAGATAGAAGACGTTAAACAATGGTAAGATCGATCTACGTTGCGCTAAGCGCTAATGAGAAAAAAGCTGTTAGTGAGAACGTTCCTGATAACAGACTGACGATTTAGACTGCCTGAGGACACAAAGATTAGGTGTAAGTTATGTCTTCTAAGACACACTAATGTACATAAAGTAACAAAAAGCACTCGAAGTCATATCCAGTTTAGACATGATTTATAAGTGGGGTACTAAATGGCGTAGCACAACACATCGTACAGCACCGCTAGCGAGTTTTTGAATACAGTGGGATCCGCGCACACATACTCGTACTTTGCCATACAAAGAAACGCTGCGTTAGCAGTGGCGTTCGATGTGTTATACTAGGTATTATCTTCCGTTTTGGTACCCGAGTATACTCCACATAAGTCTCGTTAATCTCGGCAGTAGCTGCTGGGTAGAAACTGTAATTCCGTTTAAAGGCCGTATTTTCTGCCAACTAGACGTTTTGACTTATGCACTGCATCCAGGGTTTTCATTCCGAAAAAACATTGAAAGAAGAGAGCCGTGCAAATAAGTAAACAACAACTATAACTCGAATTATAACACTAGAGCAAAGCAGGACCTGAGCGTACCTTGCATACACACTTACAATGTTTGAAACGTCACCAGCATATGCCACCAAGGCATTCAGTAAGTCGCCACCAATACTCAGGAATGTCAAATGTCCAATGCTGCTCAAGCTGAGTATCTTACACGGTGAAGGTCCTAAACTAGTCTATTATATATATATATATATATACAGGGTGCGGCAGAGAGGACGGACGTTTTTGGGATAGGTAGTACTCTCCGCCTCCGTCTACGGGAGAGGTGGGGAGGGTGCCGTTTGACTCGATCCTAGCATTATTTTTGTTGTCTTTATGGAGCCTTGGACGGTGGAGCACCGCGTTTTCGCCTATGAGTGACGAAGCCCACTTTCACCTAAACAGCATGGTTAACCAGCAGAATTGTCGTTATTGGGCTAATGAAAATCCGCAACAGTTACACAAAAGACCGCTGCACAGCCGGAAGACGTTAATGGTCGTGATGTTGCCGTGAACTCAGAGCGCTACGTCGATATGACCACCAACTTCTTTCTCCCTGAATTACGACGGCGACGTGTTCCAATCCGACGTGTGTGGTTCCAGCAGGATGGGGCGACCGACCACACAGCCCGAGCATCCATGGACGTTATTCGCCCTCTCTTCCCTGGTCGCCTTATTTCCAGGTTTGGCGATGTTCATTGGCCTCCTCGGTCCCCAGATTTATCCATATACGATTTTTTCTTATGGGGACACCTCAAGGCTATACGTATACGGTATACGCGAACAAGCCCCGAACTCTGGACGAATTGAAGGGCAAAATTCGCGTGGAAGTCGCCCAAGTTGAGAGAGCGATGTTGGAGAGAGTCTACGCTAACTTCCAAGAACGCCTCCAGCACTGCGTCAACGATTTCGGCCACCACATGCCTGATATTTCCTTGTGAACCTGATTCCAACAATAAATTTGTTTTCGAGTAAAAATTAACTATTTTATGATTTTTTTAAAACCGTCCATCCTCTCTGCCGCACCCTGTGTATACCGTTTCTACTATATTTTATCTGAATATCTTTTAACCATTCTATTTCCTAATATTTTAATTATTCCAGAAAGGTGTGTTACACTTTAAAGGATGTAATTTTATAGAAGCATTTATTCTCTTCGTTACACATCTGTTTGGCATAATTATTATGTTATTATATTAAGTAAAAGTGCTCACAAATCAGAATCGGTAACAACACTATCTTTTACAGTATTGATGGTCAAAATCTGAGGTTTAGTTTCCCTTATCATCTCATACGGCAACCGGAGTAAGAACATTTATTATTGAGTGCATTACAATAAAATAAACCTAACTATACCGGTCTAGTATGTGATCTTGACCTCCAGCAATGTCGCTGCGCGGAACACCTTAGGTGCGTAAGGTCATCGCCAGTGTCCGACCGTTTCCAAATAGACCCACAGAGGTTCAGTGCCAGTGGCAGCTTGCAAGGTCGGGTATTCGCAGATTTAGGTGAACCAGATTTGTAAACGAATATGGCGGATATCATCATATTGTATATCTATCTCTGGTATCAGTTTATTGTTACTTATCATACAACTTGAAAAAGTATAGTGATTCATATGTATTACCCACGGAAATGAGATCTTGTAGTTTCGTGATTTTTACAATCATTAATGAATCGAAAATATTCCGTATTTGTTTAAATTTGAATTGAGCTCCAAAACAATGTGCTTGTTCTATCCTTATATGATATCATCGCGTTGAAAGAATACTAACCATAATCTTTTCACACAAGGAGTTAATGAAGTGCCTGCCCAAACTTCAATGGGTGGTTTGTTGGGTGATTCTAAGAGGCAACGTCATATGAACACATGTTCAGTGATGGTTTGTTCTCGAAATACGGAATGACTAAAATAATTAAAAAACGCTTTATCAAAACAATAAATTATCATGGTCATCTAAATCGCTGATTTAATTAATTAAACAACAAATTAAAGTTTAATCAAAGAACAGTTATATCTTTAACTAATATAATAAACCATCTCCCGCGATATGCTGCATCTATCGTTAATATTGCACCTACGTGCGTGAAATAAGGAACACACAATACAACATCCATGGCTCGGAATTAAACATTCGAGGCTAAAATTCGAACCTGCCAGCCCCGGGTTGCTAATCATACTTTAAACGCCAAAAATGTACCTTTAAAGTACAAGTATATAAGTATAGAACTATTCTTTGTTCAACTTTATTGTATTTTTGACAATTTAATTTTTTATGTTAGGGATGGTAATTGGCTCGTATTTTTGGGGCTGCCTGGCTGACACGAAGGGAAGAAAAATTGTACTGATAGGAGCTTTACTGATGGATGGAATATGCGGCTTATTATCCAGTATCTCACAGGTATACTGGCTGTTCATGCTTTTGAGGTTCCTTAACGGATTCGCGTAAGTACCTTCTTCTTATGGTAAAATCAACAATTTTGTCGCATCAGACATTTCTAAGAACTTTAAATAGGTATTTTGATGTAAAGATCAGGGTCGGACATAGAAAATATTTTGGGGGTCCATATCATGCAAATTGAAAGAGACATTATTAATTAAACATTGTATGTGCTATCTCAGGGCGATCAAGTTTTTATGAATATCCTACATTTTGATTTTAATATTTTTCATGATATAACTTTCGAGATGAATATTCAACGGAAAATCAGTCGTAACAGTGATCATTCCAAAAAAAAAAACACACACTACCTGAGAAATCCCGTTAGCTTAGTAAGATAACACAATGTTCCTAAAACCATGCAAGAATTAGAAACTTTTTAATTTTTATGGTTTTGTTACGCTCCTGTATATATATAGAATAATATTGTTAAGACAATTTTGTAGCCTAATGATCAAGCTACAAAAGTTGTTTATATGATATTTTCATATCTACATTTGCTTATGAAATAGAGCCAATTTTCTTATGCTGTGCTTAGTCTTTACGTAAATACATGCATAGCTGACTACCAAAAAGAGGTTGTTACGGAAAGTTGGTCGTTTGGTATATACAAATGTTGTTAAGGTAATTTGAGAATGTTTTGACAAAGCTTAGCGATTCAGCTGTTCAGGTCTCAGCTGAAGGTTTTGTTAGGTATTTTAATAACACTATTTTCAGGAAAATATCGTTTCTAAGCTATTTGGGGCTGCTAAACCCTATTCAAAGGATATCTACGCCGCGTTAAGTGAGATACGGTATCTACGTAAATCACCAAATTCTTGCGTTATTACTAGCCAGTACTCGTAGCTGGGTACCCCACAACGTCAATACTAGCGGATATGTACACGACCGAGAGAAAGAGAAAAGAGAGTTGCTTTGTTGAACTCGGTACCTTCACTCCAGAAGGCAGATGTTCGACCGCTACAACAAAATTACAAACTTCACAATCGCTAAATATATTTCAGGGTGCATTATCGAGGCATCTTTTTTGACTCCGCGTGATTTTCCGTGTCTTTGTGGATTCTTTTTATTTTTATCTGTGCTACACATATAATCTGAGTAGGTGCAATATTTTCAGAAACTATTATACAGTATATTCTCAAATTATCAGCCGAAACTGCACACAACGACAAAAGTTATACTGTTTTTACAAAAATACTGTCATTGTTTGAACTTGTTTATAAGTGTATATATACACTGTGTTCGGTCACGACATACCGATATTTAAGGGCGGTATTTTTCAGCTATTTTCATCGACAGATCCACCCCCCTACAATGTCTTACCTCACCACCCTTGAAATGGCAGCCATTTTTATTTTTACGTTACGATTACGCTATTGCATGTGAAAAAATTGTAATAACTGAGTACATAAGTGTCACAGAATGAAAATTTGGTGTAATTTGAACGATAACGTATTGTCCTAGCGATTATTGAAAAACTTGTATTGATACTAACCGTCAAACATACTTAAAGACAGACAAAAACAGAAAAACACATGAAAGAAAATTGATTATTTTGTGCATTTCCGCACACCATTCCAAAACTAGTCTGAGGAAGTTGTACCTTTTGAGCTAATTCTACAGATAGCTGTGCTATCTACAAAATGACACCAAATTTGTTACCCTATGTTAGTTATTTTAAGTACAAATATTGCTTAAACATGACCCTTGGCAAGCCTCCCCGATTTAGGTAGCGGACCTGGTATATAGTCAAAATCACGAAAGATGACTATTACGTCATATCATAAATTGTACCGAAGTAATCAATGGACGTACGTCGATGATAAAATCACGATGTCAGAACATAATGACAAAAAATTTATATTATGATTTTGCGAAGTTAGGTTATTTCACTGATTATTTTTATTTTCATTTTATTTCATGGTTTTGAGTGATAACTTTAATAATTTTAGTGGGGAGTTTTTGTTTTGAAGAAAACAGTTATGAATAGAATACCTTAAGACAGGAACACCAAAGACCAAAGTATTATAACATAGCCTAACTATTCATCTTTCAGATATGATCGATCATGCAACATGAAAACATTGCCTATCTTTGTCGGATACATGCAAATTAGCATTACCTACAGTTTGTTTAGACAATAAAATTATGTCTGTCTAACATATCTGAAACTTCATTAAAAATATTGCTACAAATCGCTGTCGTTAGTCTTTCCTACAGACTAAAATTAAAATGATGACGTAATCGTCATCTTTCGTAATTTCGACAATAGAGATGAACGTATTGAGTGTGTGAGTGAGACAACATCTACCGAAAGGTCTCGTTATCGAGATGGTAACAACCAGTTATTTGTTGTCAATGACATAGTGAGTGTTTTGTAGTACCTAGCCACGCTTTGTGATCATACGGCAATTTTGTTACCATTGCTGACTACTTTCGATATCAATTTTCTGAACGTATTTGAGTAGGAAGTGATTTGCGACTGAACATTTTATGATAAATCGTCCACGTGTAGGATACGAAATTGATAATATGATAATAGCAATATAACGATAAACATGAAAACATCTCATCTTAGAAGATTTCGAAGTACCGCCCCGTACCATTACATTTTTACTACATGGGCAGTACGTAAACAATTCTGTATGGGCAACAATGTCAGGGTAGTATTAAAGTCACTTACTTGGTGACGAAACGACAACGAGTTATCCTACTTTGGCAAGCGATAAGGGCGATATGATCGGATTGTCGGGGCCATCGCCTATTTTTAGAAAAAGACTTATGAGTATCTCCCGTATTCAACTGACTCATGACATCACATGCACAAATCTACTATTTACCATTACATTAATGTATCCCAACTACTATTACGGATTCGTCATCGACTGAATCACGGGATCGTCATCACACAGACTGATCCTGACCGTCATCACACAGACTGGTCATTAAGTCATCACACAGACTGATCATTAAGTCATCACACAGACTTAATAGGAGTCGTCACACAGACTCACTCTAACTCTTTGGTCGCTAGGTGTATGGTCAACGTGCTGAGTTTAACGATTGTTACAAAAAGACAGTCCAGGAACCGGGATATCACGCTGACCAAGGGCCGTTGTGTCAATACCCCAAATCTCCGACATTACCCCTGAATCAAAGATAACCGAGCAATATGACTATCATTAAAGTAACAATCCCTTCACACATCCTGCCATGAGATACATTCAGACTCCAGCGATTGCCAGGAGAAGATAGTTAAGCGGTCATTAAGACCAAGGACGCCACTTCGGCCAAAGGCCACCGTGTCAACATCCAAAGCGCTCCGACGTTTCCCCTGGTAGATGAAACCGAGCAGTAAGTAACATAACTACCTCAACCCAGCAAACGGGCTCCGAAAGTCCCATAACAACCCCCAGAACCTGGAGGCGTCCCACCTGCGGATATTCAATAACAAGTCGTAAGCCATAAGTTAAATTATGAAGGTAAAATGTATAGCATCTTTATAAACATGGCTTAAGACATTCATGATCATGAATATAAAAGTATTATGGTTATCAATCCATGCAGTACAGTAGAATAAAGGAAACACTCAGTGATTGCTCACCTTTCAGGTAACCAAAACACCACACCCAATAGCACATCAACACTGTAATCAAGTTCACAAAGCGCACTACTTGGTCTGAGAAGCGATCTCATCCACGCAATAATTGAAGTGTATCGCCGTCCACGCCCGTATAACAAAGTTTATCCTGGGAACAAGTACCCAGAGAAGGAATGGAATGTATAATGTAAACAGGCGTAAGGGCTGTCGCGCTGAGTGACACTAAGCAGCCTTGTGAACCTTCTGGAAAGGTTTTGTGTGCTACAGGGTTGGACTCGCATGCAAAAAAATGTGTTTGAGATATTTCGTAAGCTTACACACGTAATAAATTTTCAAATAACCGTGCTGCTGATATGGTGTTTGTTTACGGCTTTTGCAATAGAAATGCCGCAGTTGCTGTGAGAGAATATCGAAGACGATTTCCTGACCGAATTACGCAAAATGTTACGACTTTTGTCTTTACATATCTGAGACTGGCGGAAAATGGGATTCAAAGGCCAGTGAACAACCGTTATCGACTACTGTCTCCATAAGATGAAGAAACGATTCTCAACATGATGACCCGAGATCCGAGAGTTAGTGTGAGCAGGATCGCTGCAAGACTACACTTGTCACATCGGTCGGCTTGGAGAGTCCTTAAGAGAGAAGATTTACATCCCTATCATTTTAGAAGAGTTCAGGATCTTCATGAGCCAGATTATGCAGCAAGAATCATAGTTTGCACCTGGTTTCAACGGCAGCTGCGTCAAGACTGCAACTTTTGGGAAAAAATTCTGTGGACGGACGAAGCAAAATTTACGAGGCTGAGGATCATGAACCATAGAAACGACCACTTGAGGTCTTCGGAAAACCCTTATACAGTTCGACCGAGCACTTTCCAACAGGAAACGGAGTGTCAGACGGCCCAGTTGAGCTATCTCCAAGGTTAGATGCCCAGGGATTTTTGGAGTTCTTGAGGACCGAGTTTGCAGATCTACTCCATGGTCTGTCACTTATCAACCGCCGCAACAGGAGTTTGCAGCTTGACGGAGCTCCCGCACACTTTGCGCGAATTGTACGAGAACATTTGGATGGGCAACATTCCTCATGGCCATGTCGTGGAAGCACTGTCGCTTGGCCACCCGATCACCCGATTTAATGCCCCAAGATTATTTTTTCTGGGCACAGTAAAGCAAAAAAATTACTGTCATGTGTCGGCGACATGGAAAGAGCTCGTGGAAAGGATCCATACCGCTGCGAACGGAATTAGAGCTGACTCGGATTTAGTCCGCCGCTCAACACGACACTTGGTTTTAAGAGCAACAATATGCATAACCAATAATGGAGTACATTTTGAATAGCTTCTGTAACATTGAACATGTCCAAACTCTTCATGGGAAACAGTGATTTGTCATTTTTATGTATAGAAAGTTTGAAAGCAATTTGCATTTTATTACACCCATTTTGACCAATGTTAGATAGCATCTATTACTTAACCTAGAAGACTTAGGATAACAAATTTGGGGTCATTCTGTAGACAACATAGTTAGCTGTAGAATTAGCACAAAAAAGTACAACTTCACATACTAGTTTTTGAATGGTGTGCGGAAATGCACAAAATAATCAATTTTCTTGCATATTTTTTCTGTTTTTGTCTGTTTTTAAGAATTTTTGACGATTAGTATCAATACAAGTTTTTCAATAATCGCCAGGGCAACATGTTATCGTTCGAATGACACCAAATTTTTCATTCTGTGACACTTATGTGCTCAGTTATTACAATTTTCTTACATGCACTAGCGTAAACGAAACGTGAGGTAATAGCACTGAAACGAGATTTTCCTGGAAATAGTGTTATTTAAATACCTAACAAAACCTTCAGTTGAGACCTGAACAGCTGAATCGTTAAGCTTTGCCAAAACAATCTCAAATTACCTTAACAACATTTGTGTATATGTTACTGCTAATATCCAAAATCCGCTAATATGCATAATAATTAGACATAATAGGAATTATGCGTAAATACTAAAACTGTCGGTTAGTATGCAAAATAACGGCGCGTATCAGGAATTATCGATAACTACTAAAATCGTCAGTAATTATGCAAAGTATCGCCATATTTTTAGTAAATATTGATAATAACTGACACAGCAATAGGAATTATGCATAATATCTGCTGTGTATATTAGTGATTATACATGTAACCTCACAAAATACGACTGGTCCTGCCTTGAAGCGTGCGTTGAAGTTTGATGTTATGTTTTGATTGTTTTGTTGTTGGAGTTTCTCATCGCAATGACTGCACTACCTACTGATAACTTTAAATTTAAATTTGTCGATGAAGTTAAGAAGTTGAAGGGAAGAACAAACTCACGATTGAACATTTTATTCAAGGAAGAATATGACGTACTTTTATCCGAGGTAAGAATGATTTTAAACTAATATATACGTAGTGCCTATATTTTAACGTTTAATTCCTGATGTTTTTCTCTAGGTTAGGGATGCTTCATCAAATAATGGTCCCAAAACTCCATTACAGTATCGTAGACTTAAAAGATTTGGAATAGTTGAAGTCGGAAATATTGAAAAGCTTGTAACGCGAAATAAAGAGCAAACGGGAAAGGAAAATAATGAAGATTCTAATAATATAGTGATTGACATACGAGATGTTCGCTATGTTGTTCCCGTTGAAGAAATGTTTGATATTTTAACCATTTGTCACAGAAGTATTGGTCACGGAGGAAGAGATCGAATGAAGACCGAAATGTCCAAACAGTATTCGAATATTACACATGGTTATCAACGATGCAATTGCACAAAATTCTGCCAAAACAATACCTGCCGCGGTAAAAAAAATAATCGATTATGCAATAGTAAGTGCCATCAAAGCTCTTCTTGTTCCAATAAATAAATATAAATATAATAATATAAATAATTTTTATGTAGTCGTTTGAAATGTTACGGTTATGTTTTTTTTCGTTCTGATTCCTGAATATGTTTGATTTTCATCTATGCATACCATATACTTTTGTAGAATTACATATATATTAAATGTTATGTAATAGTATACTTACTCGTAATATATTTCTATTTTATCATTAACTACATAGCATTTCAAATTTGACGTTACTTAATTAATGACGTTACGTGATATTATGCTTAATCACTAACATAAGATATTGGTAGCTTCAGTATCTACGCATAATTTCTAATTTGGACAGTGAATATGCATCATAACTGATTATTTTAGTACTTATTAATAATTCCTGATACGCGCCGTTATTTTGCATACTAACTGACGGTTTTAGTATTTACGCATAATTCCTATTATGTGTAGTTTTTATGCATATTAGCGGAATTTGGATATTAGCGGTAACATATATAGGTACCAAACGACCATCTTTCCGTAACAACTACATTTTTGTTGTCGGCTATGCATGCATTTACGTAAAGACTAAGCACAGCATAAGAAAATTGGCTCTGTTTCATAAGCAAATGTAGATATGAAAACATCATATAAACAACTTTTGTAGCTTAATTATTAGGCAACAAAATTGTCTCAACAACTTTTTTCTATATATATACAGGACCGTAACAAAACCATAAAAATTAAATGGTTTCTCATTTTTTTAGAATCCGCAGGATCCGGAACTTTTCGTTATGCTAAAGAAGACTATTTCAGTTAACAAAATCCTAATTTTGCATGGTTTTAGGAACATTATGTTATCTTACTAAGCTAACGGCGATTTCTCAGGTAGTGATAAAAATGTTTTTTTTTTGGAATGTTCACTGTTATTACTGACTTTCTGTTTAATATTCATCTCGAAAGTTATATGATGAAAAAAAAATCAAAATCCTATTTTATGCTCGAATCCACTTTCCTCCCTTTTGCGGATTTTGCCCATTATTTTCCTACTTTTTGTTATATACCTTTCTTCGCACGATCATTTTCTCTTTGTAGATCCTTTGTGCTTGAAGTACCACAGCAAGTGGCTATAACCGGCCGCGTGGTTGTGGTTAGATGTCTCCTTGAAAATTCGAGGTCTTATAGCCATTTTATACTACAATGTGTAGGTTGGCTCTTGTTATGGACTTCGTGTGTGATTTTTTTTCCTCTCCATCTTCGTTTCCTCCGGTTTCAGCCGTATCCGGATGTGTGGGCATCTACTTTTGTAATTTCATATGTGTATTCATTTCGGGCCTGATGAAGCCAACTAGCAGAAATACGTATCGCTCGGGTTACCTATCCAGTTTCCTCCTTTTTGCGGATTTTGCCCATTATTTTCCTACTTTATATATATATATATAATTATTTTTCTAATAATTGCGGAAAGTCATACTTTTCCGCACACGACTACAGTTGGCCAAACGGAACTTTTAACTTTTAAGAACTCGAGAAGATGTACCTATTTTGCTTAAACTATTTTATGTTTCTTATAGTATTACTGGTGCCATGGGTATATGCTTTCCCTATTTGGGTGAATTTCAGCCAACAAAGTACAGGGAAGTAATTTTATGTTGGATGGAATTATTTTGGACGCTTGGTGTTATAATATTACCTGGTAAGTCATAATTTTAGAATCCAATTATTTATCAGTAAGGTAATAAATAATGAATATCCGCCGAGTGACAGACTAGTAGATCTATCACAGCTGTCATTTGACCGATGCCGTGGTCCTAGCAACCAAGGCGATTACCCCTAGCACCAACCGACTTATCCCACGCAAAATGCTACCTACGATTTTACGTGTATTATTTCTCCAGTGTATCTCTACTGGTACGTAGACTCATAATTCTATGTTAGATTGTTCAGCAATGTCCAATTAGACCATATTCTGCAGACGTGATTTATTGCCGGGCGATAATTTGAGTTTTACTGAGTGATAAACCTGTACAAGCGAAAAAATGTGTGCTCCCGGTAAAAACCTTATTCTTTCATATTCTCTGGGCGAGATTTTCTTCAAAAAGTAAACCTCAAAAATCACATTTCCATTATTATAAACCACTAAATATGTACTTCTATGCAACATTGCTCAGTAAATTTCATTCTATCATATTATGCAGGCGTCCTCCATTGCCGGGCGATAATTTCTAAGTTACTCGGTGATAAACCTCTACAGGCGAGACGAACTTGTTTTCCCAACGAAAAACCTGAAAAATCTCACATTGCTATGCAAGATTAATCAGTAACGTCCATTTTTCATATTCTACAGGAGTGATTCATTGCCGGGCGATAATTACAAAGTTAATTAATCCTCTACAAGCGATAGAGGATTATCATCCTCTCGCCTCTCACCCTCTCACTTTAACTCTTCTGAAAGCACTTTTTCATGTCAACCAAAAGGGTAAATTTTTACATCTCACGCCTATTGGAGAGGAAGTATTGTAATCCAGAAAAGTGTCGAAAATGAGATGTTTTTTGGATGTTATATGACATGTACATCACGAAAAACCGTCATTCATTTATGTCGGTCTGTTTGTCCGCGAATCCTCGGTCTATCTATAACTTGGAAAGTACCACTCGTATTTTAATATCTCTTTTTTTTTGGCGGTAGCATATTCATATGCTTCCAACCCTGTTTATTTTACGCACCTATTAGTACATATTTCACACGTCATAGATTTCACCGTACATTTGCCCTTAGAGAAATGTCTTCAGACGCAACACGCCTTTGATCGGGACGTTGCTAACCTTCATGTGCCAAACTCTATATCCGTCTGGTTGCATCTCCAGCGTTCTCGATCTCGAGTTATAGTATCGTGACTGGTGCTTATAGTATGGTTCAGCACCACCAGCAGATGGTCTACACTTAAGGCATTAGCGTTATCAAATTGTTGGGAAGTATGGATTAGTTGTATGGGCCTGTTTCGCTGACTTGATCCGTTTAATTCTCTTTGTTATACATGTTTGTAGCTAGCTCAGAGGGACTAACTTGTGTCGCCCTTTATGAACTGATGGCAGCGTTGCGTGCAGAGTCAACTGACTTGACGCCTTTTTTTTCAGGTATCGCATGGATCATAATCCCGATGCGATTCGAATACGTGACAGAATCCTTCAAATTCGCAAGCTGGAACTTATTCGTAGCAGCGTGTTCCGTGCCCAGTATCCTGATAGGCATGTGGCTGTTCTTCTTTCCAGAAAGCCCTAAGTTCCTCCTGGAATGCGGTGAAGCGGACGAAGCCTTGGAGGTTCTCCGGGATATGTACGCCAGCAATACGGGAGAAGATAGCGGAAAATTCCCGGTAGGCATGGAAAAATTGATCATATACAGGGTGTTTCAGAACTATGGGATAAAACTTGTAGGGGTTATTCAGTGTAACAGTAGGAAAGATTTGAGTATAGGGACCCACATCCGGAAAAGTGTCACTACGGCCCTAAGACGCGTTAAAATTTAGAAAGGCGACGAATTGCCTAAATAGGATGTAATGCCTTTAATTTTTGCCTTTTGTACATGATATCATCACAACAATTGTTCAAAATGTCTTCCTCCAACCTGAATACACCTTTCCTGTGGGAACATGTAAAGTCTTTGGTTTACGAAAATCCAGTAGAAACAGAGCAAGATTTAATTGGACGAATTACAGCAGCATTTGGGTATCAAATTTTTAGTCAAGTCCGTCGAAATCATGTGCGACGTTTAAATCGGTGAATTCAGGTTGGAGGAAGACATTTTTAACAATTGATGATATCATGTACAAAAGGCAAAAATTAAATGCATTAAATCCTATTTAGGCAATTCATCGCCTTTTTAAATTTTAACGCGTCTTAGGGCCGTAGTGCCGTAGTGACACTTTTACGGATATGGGTCCCTATACTCAAATGTTTTCTACTGTTACACTGAATAACCCCTAGAAGTTAGATCCCTTAGTTCTGAAACACCCTGTATTTCCACCTACCAGCATTGCTAGATTTGGCAAATTGTCGTAAAAGTGGCGATTTTTGACATCATTCACAGGCGCCATCTTGAAATTGTCAACTGTACACTTTTACGCTACGTTTTTGAGAACACAGACTTATACCACTCTGCACAAACTTGAATAAATATGAATAAACGACAATCAATTATTATTTTTGATTAAAGTAATGAAAATAAGTATATCATATATTTATTTGTAATCAGAGTAACTCTCATTTGCCTTCAAAAAATATAAAATGCATAGTATGAACATTAGACAACCACATTTGTATAGAACTTTTTTTATAAACGCTCATACAAACAAGTTAGAGAGGGGTTAAATTTTTAGGGGATACCCCATTCATAGAGGCGCAGATGTCATGCATACTGATGCGACAGTGCCTGGCGGTCCCTTCGATCTTGGTATCACCACCTACTCCGCGCATCCCACCAATTATCATGGGCGCGGATAAATGTTTTCCAGGAAGGCTAGCTAACATATGAATGTGCTCCCGAAATTCTTTGAAACATAAAAAACACATTCAACAGAAGATATCATGAATATGTGTGAGCCCCAAAACTTTTTAGAGAGTGGGAGGAGCAAACTTTCTCTGAGTGGCCAAATCATAAAGATCCTACGAGAGGTTTTTTGATTTACAAGAGTATGCTTCAAGGACGCAACACACGTTTGTACTGTTCGATCTACCCTTTTAAATTATTGTAAGAATGTGTTAAGTGAGGAATCCTATCAAACTTGACGTAACCTATTTTTGACAGGCTTTTATCTCTGGCGAAGTGGAGTTTGCAATATCGTATCATGAGTTATGCTACTTGGTTGCCAAATAATGTATTTTTTTACAGGACATCGTTTAGTTTATGTTTATTGACCCATTATGCCATCGACAAAGATTCAATAATTTTTCACTGACTTTGGCAGATTGATATTAACAGGCAACCATATTATTCTATAATTTTCAGGTAACGAGTCTCAGAGAGAAAGTGCGAACAATGAGTGTAGTGTCGCAACAATCTACCAGAAGCATTAGGAGTTTGAGGTTAAGGAAGCCCAAAGAGTTGAAACTACTTCTACGGGAAATCTGGGAACAGACAAAGGCGTTGTGTAAACCTCCACATCTTCGATACACAGTCATTACTTGTTTTATACAGTTTGGATTGACTACAAGGTTTGTATGATTTTTTTTGCTGCCCAAGACCAATGACTCTTAATTTCGAACGAGGCCGTTTATTCGACATCCTGTATAGCGCAGTTTAGGACGAAGCTTCACAATAAAAAAATAATAGGGATCCACCGATACGGATAAGTATATTGGCATATCGGCAGTAATTAATTTGAGGATATATGAATCGGCAGATATGACCTGTCATACGCCGATATTGGCTGATAGATACAAATGAAGTTAATTAAGGTTAAAATCATTAGATTGCCTCTTTGCTGTTTTTTTGTATAGGATACAAATTTTACTAACAACTTTGTGAGTCTTATATTTGATTTATTCTCGAAATACACAACGCCGCGCTATTTGTCTTGACTCATACTCAGTAAACCTGATCCATGAAACTAAGTTGCTTGTAACAGATAGAAATCCTAGTAGAAAGCTCAGAAGTGTGGACACTGTACTTAATAAAATGCAATTTTATTAAACCAAAATGCTTTCTTGCGACTCTTGTTTCTCGTTTTGAACGATAATTTCGAATTAGAGCATTTTACTTGAGATTTCCTCAGCTGTTAAGGAAAATAAAGACAAAGACGCCTTCGCCAAAAGGCTGTATATTACTACTTTCCTAATTGACCATGGAAGTTTCCTATATATGGATGTTCAAGTGCAACTTCTTCTTCAAACCATTTTTTTTAAACGAATTCATGTTAGGCGTTTCTACAGTGAGCAACATGTTATGGCTTACGTAGACGTCTTGTAGCCAATGCAAGAGCCAACGTGTTTACACTCGAAACCTTTGAAATATCGCTATCGGCAAAAATCCGGTATCGGTCAATCTCTAATTCTTACCCCTTTTGTTCGTGAAGCTTGAGATCGTATCTTCTATAGCTTATTATCAATGCCATAAAAATAAAAAATAAAAAATTTCAGTTACTACACTTTGATGATTTGGTTCCCTGAGCTGTTCTATCGTTTCGAAGAATTCGAAAATCTCCACCCAAATGAAAAAGCCTCAGTTTGTGAAGTATCATCAGTTGTTATACCGGTCAACAGTACCTTGGGCCACACAGAGTACTGTGGTGACCCCATTGCAGACTCCGTGTTTCTCCATACGCTGATCATAGGCTTGGCATGTATCCCAACCAGTTTCTGGTTGCCTCTTTGCGTACACAAGCTGGGTGCCAAATTCTTTTTGGGTAAGTTTCATCCATTTTTCATCTAATTGTGATATAGTTTTTAGTAACAAAAAATTAACTATAAGAACCTACAGATGCAGCAAAAGGGGAACATAAGAAGATGCTATTTTTATCCAAAATCCACGGTACCTCTCCCATGTGCTATAGCCTTGATTAACATATTCCCCGAAACGATACACAACTCATTATAAAACCCGAAATTCTAGGAATAAATGAGAGGGAGGTTGAAGTTAGTTATCATGTTTTAGAATAAACAATTTGCCTTTAAAAAGAAAACTGAATGTTTGTATAATGTCTAAGGGAATTAAAGCGATCCTACTTGGCCACATGGTTGTGAAGATGTAGGTTCTAAATAAACCTCCAAATGCAGCATAAGATTCGGCAACTTTTTGAAGAATATGTTAATCAGTGGTTGTAGTCAAATACCAAAATGTAAGAGAGTATCGTAACGTCTCAAAAATGGCCATTTGTTTATTTATCCACGACGGTACTGAGACTCATGATGACCTGCAAATCAGGCGCATGGTGCACAAAGACTGTACCGTCGGGAGCGGTAAGGTAGTTGCGCGCAACGGAGGCCATGCACACCGCTTCCATTGCGGCGTTGGAGGTCCTTTACGACCTACACATATACCGGGTGGCGCATTGAAAACGAAACAGACGCATTTACTGGCAGCTCAGTTTTTTTTTTTGAAAAACGCTCAGACCCGTCGATTTTGTTTTCGAAGGGGACACAATTTTGGCAAAAAATCACGTTAACACGTGCAGCCCCCTGGGCGGGGGTGATACCAACCCTAAAATCTTAAATGGAAAGGGTGGTCGAGTGATACTTTATTTTAAAGGTCTTTCAATTCCCTTTATAATGATGTAAAATATATGAGCTTCAGATCAGTAGTTTTGAAGATTTATTGATTTAAAGCTTAAAGTAGACTTTAATAGGTACATCAGATTTATTTGCACTACTTTCCAAAGAAATTTGACTAAAAGAATTTACTTAATAAGTAACTGCTTTTCTTCACTACGCCCATGGTTTGTTTAATATTTTGTTGTTGAAAATAGCTATTGGAGCGTTTTTTGTGGCAAAAAAGTTATTTCTTGAAGAAAGATAAGGAAATATCTCGTACTTATTTTAAATAGGAATTTAGTACATAGTTTGCGATTGATTTGACCAAACTTTGTTACTAAAATAACTTGTAAGGCTTTATTACATAAATTAACCATGGTATATTCCACCGCAGAAAGAGTTGAAATTATCGAAATATTTTTCGGAAATAATCAGTGCGCTAATAAAACAGCAGAAATATTTAATGAGCGACATGAGAACAGTAACGTGCATCGAAAATATGTTCTAGAACTTGTAGGTAAATTTCGGGAAACTGGGTCAATCGCCAATAAAAAAGGCAACATTGAAAATCCCATAAGGAACGCAGCAATAGAAGTGGGGGTTTTAGGGCAAGTTTATGTAGATCCTACGTTAAGTACTCGCAAATTGGAGACTGTATGTGGTGTTAGTCGACGTACTGTCCGACGGATTCTAAAGGCCCATAGTTTTCATCCGTATAAAATTCACCTGGTACAAGAACTTAATGAAGACGATTTTGATCGGCGATTACAATTTTGTGAAGATGTGAGTGAACGAATTATAAACGATGAAGATTTTCTATTCAACACTTGCTTTTCCGACGAATGTTCCTTTTTCTTAAATGGCGTAGTAAATCATCATAACTGCCGATATTGGTCCGATTCTGATCCCAGAATTTATCATGAGGTTCATACACAGCAGCCACAAAAATTAAATGTTTGGGCTGGTATTTTTGGCGATCATTTAGTTGGTCCTTTTTTCTTACCTGAAAATTTGACCGGTGAAATGTATTTGGAATTACTGGAAGACGACATAGATCCTGCATTAACAGCCATAATTGAAAATCAGAATGATCGGCGGATAGGTTGATGTTCCAACAGGATGTTGCCCCACCACATTACGCATTACGTGTTCGACAATATTTAGATCAGACGCTTCCAGATCGATGGATTCGTAGAAGAGGTGCCATTGAATGGCCCCCAGATCGCCAGATTTATCACCTTTGGATTTTTTTATGTGGGGTCATTTAAAAAGCAAATTCTATGCTACTCAGCCAACATCATTAGAAGACCTGCAACAAAGAATTACTCCTCGAATATTGCAAAATGTGCGGCAACGTTTTGAGCAAAATCTTTATTATTGCATGGAGAGTCATGGTGGTCATTTTCAACATTTACTTGCCTAACGGGTCAGTTCATTCTTCATTTTTAAAATACTTTGCTGCCAAATGTATTGATCTCCACTAATGATGATGTATTAGTTTTATTTAAGCTTTAAATCAATATATCTTCAAAACTACTGAACTTAAGTACATTAATTTTATATCATTATAAAGGGAATTGAAAGACCTTTAAAATAAGGTATGACTTGACCCCCCTTTCCATTTAAGATTTTGGGGGTGGTGTCACCCCCGCATAGGGGGCTGCACGTGCTAACGTGATTTTTTGCCAAACTTTTCAAAAAAAAACTGAGCTGCCAGTAAATGCGTCTGCTTCGTTTTCGATGCGCCACCCTGTATATTCAGAGCAAATACTATTTCAGTGGTTCACAGACTATGTATAGTCCAATCACCTATCAGTTACAAAGCGGAAAAGGTCATCATGAACTGTAGACAAAGTTGAAAGCAGAGTTTGGTAAATGCCTACGAACGCAACTGTCCAATGTACAATTGCGATAAAAACTACCTAGTAGTAGTTCCAAGAAGCAAGGCGTGAGAGAAAGGCCCTCCTATACAGACCAAAAACTACTGGTACACAGCCGGTTGATTGGAGCCGGGATTTATGGGACAAGGCTAAAAATCGATATCTCTATAATTCTAGGTAACATAGCAACAATATTTCACGTTGAAATAACGGTCATGCAAGTCTGATCAAAAGTTCTAATAAGGAAGGAGACTGCAAATCAGTGGATACTCATCGGCTCAGACAGCCAGGCAGTCATTAAGGCATTAAGTTCAGCGCACATATCGTCTGAGCTAGGAGAGGATTACGTGAACACTCTCAAAGATCTGGGAAACCGAAACAAGGTGTCATAGTTCTGGAAACCAGGACATAAACGGCACAAAATGAGTTAACCCGAAAATACACGTCAAGCAGTCCACAAAAGATTGATGCAAGTCCTTAGAATGGTGGAACGTGTATATGAATTGATGAATGAACTTTGACACTGATGATTGTTTATTGTATGGACTAAATGTAACAACAAACTGTATGAATTGTGTCTGAATGATTTTTCTTGATTGCCACGCCCGTCTGCTTTGATGGTCGGCGCGTGAATGTCTCGTTCTTCGGGCGGTGTTGCCAGATGTGTACAGATGTCTGCAGAAGTTGCCGGAACATGCCCCCCGCCTTGGAGAAGTCAGGTTCTCCAAAAGTCCTCAGTTGGAAGCGGACAGATTGTAGCCACTGCCCTCTTGATGACACCCTTTGACGTCTTCAGGGACACTGTTCTGATGATGCCGTCTTTCCCTGGATGAACATCGATGACTCTAGCCATGAGCCAGCAGAGCGGCGGAAGATTGTTGTCGTTGATGACGACTAGTGTTCCAACTTTGATCGCCTTTGAAATTTGAAACCACTTCCCTCGTCTCTGTAGGTCGGAGATGTATTCGCTGGACCAGCGGTTCCATATGTGTTGTTGAAGCTGCTACAACCTTTGAAATCTGTCTATGCGAGCTTCCTTTATGTCTCTTAGATCTGGATTTGGCGGTGAAGTGATAGGTCTTCCAATTAGAAAGTGAGCGGGAGTGATAGGATTTAAATCGTTAGGATCGGAGCTAGCTGGATAGAGGGGTCTGGAGTTGAGCACTGCTTCGACTTGATTTAAAATAGTTAGAAAGTCTTCGTAGACTAAAGAAGCATTACCTAATACCCGTTTTATGTGAAACTTGGCGGATTTAACCCCTGCTTCCCAGATACCACCGAAGTGCGGCGCATGCGCAGGAATGAATTTCCACTCTATTCCCTGATTAGAGCAAAAATCTGTTATCACCTGATTTGAATGGCGAAGAATTTTTGTGAACTCTTGAATTTCATTTTTAGCCCCAATGAAGTTAGTACCATTATCTGAAAAAAGCTTTGTAGGCTTACCCCTTCTGGAGCAAAATCTTCGTAATGCTGCAAGGAAGGAATCTTTGCTAACATCTGTTGCAATCTCTAGATGAATGGCCTTAGTGGTCATACAAATGAACAAGCTTACCCATGCCTTGTATGCCTTAGAACCACGGCCTTTCCTGTCGCGTAGAATGAAGGGACCTAAATAAACTACACCCGAAACTTGAAAGGGGGGTGATGGTTCTAATCGCTCCTTTGGAAGGTTTCCCATGAAAGGATAAATCGTCTCAGGTTTGACCCGAAAACATGTAATGCATCGACTTGCTACCTTTTTCACAATTCGTCTGGCTGATATGATCCAAAAACTTTCGCGAATTGCTGCTAATAGCTGTTGCGGACCAGCATGTAATAACTGGTGATGATAATGTCTGCAAATAAGAGTGGTGAAATGGCTGTCAGGTGGTAGAAGTACAGGATAACGTCTGTCGTAACTCATACTGGAATATTTCAGTCTGCCACCCACTCTTAGGATTCCGTTCGTGTCCATAAATGGAGTTAATATGAGAATTTTGCTCCTGCAGCTTATGGGCTTATTTTGCTGTAAATTGCGTATCTCGTGTTCAAAATGCTTGTTTTGAACTTGTGTGATGATTGAGTTTTGAGCTAAGGATAACTCGTCTGAAGTTAAAGCTTCGGATTTTCTAGCATTTTTGTGCCTGCAGTTGTGTGAAAACCTTAGACAATAGGCTGTGACTCGCTTGAGTCTTGTCAAGCTAGAGAACCTTGAAATGGGAAATGTATCCAGATTCTGAAGTGTGAGGACTGTCTTATGACCTTTCAATTCTGGCAGATCATTGGTTAGTGAAGATGAACTTGGGATATTCAGGATGTCCTCTGACAACCATTGGGGACCTTTCCACCAGAGTGCTGAATCTGGTAGTGCACATGGTGATACTCCACGGGACAGCATGTCCGCTGGATTGTCCTTAGTCTTCACATGATGCCAGTAACTGTAAGTATGTCGGGATGATTTGAAACCCATTTCCTTAGTTCGAAACATCGTTGACTTAGGATATTGGATATGTCTTTGCATAGTGTTGCCAATTCTTCAAGAGAATTTGAGCCTGTTAACAAGTCATCGACATAAAAGTCTGTCTTGATGATATGAGATGCTTGTGAAAACTGCTGCTCGTTCTCAATAGCTAGTTGGTGCAAACACCTGACTGCAAGATAAGCTGCTGAAGCAGTCCCATAAGTGACTGTATTCAGCTGGTATGAACGAAGAGGTTCTGAATGATCTGATCTCCAGAATATCAGCTGAAATCGTCTTTGATCTGGCCTGACCAGTATTTGCCGGTACATTTTACATATATCCGCTGATACTACATAGCGATGTTGTCTGAATCTTATCAGTATAGACAGAAGATTATTTTGAATATTAGGGCCTACCATTTGGATGTCATTGAGCGACAGTCCTGAACTTGTTGCACAAGACCCGTCAAATACGACGCGAAGTTTTGTTGTGAGGCTGTCCTCCTTGAGTACCGCATGGTGAGGGAGATAGTAGTTATTGCTGTCTACATCTTGCACCAAGGACATGTACCCTAAAGACTGATATTCTGATAAGAAATCGGAGTACTGTTTGCGTAACTCGGGCTTTGCTAAAAGCTTGCGCTCTAAATTGTCAAAACGCTTGAGAGCTTGTGTTTCTGAATCACCCAACTTGTCTGTAGGTGTTTTGAATGGTATGGAGACCATGAAGCGGCCTTGTGAATATCTTGTATGAGTATCTATGAAATGCTGCTCGCATGCCTGTTCCTCTTTTGAAAATACTCTTTGAACTGGGCACTCTTCGATTTCCCAGAATCGTGTTAGTTCAGACTGAACGCCTGTGGCCTGAACAAATTGGCAAATAGACCGATTCTGCGAACTTGAGATGAACGGACCAGCTGTGATCCAGCCGAACCTTGTTCTCTGAAGAATGGGATTGGATGAGCCCATGTTAATCCTTTCACTGCAAAGAATTTCCCAAAACAGACCTGCACCGATTAGTACATCAACTTCCCGTGGTGAATGATACTCGGGATCAGCTAATTGTAAATTTTCCGGTATTTTGATGCTTGTCAGATCAACAGGAACATTTGGAGCGTACTCACAAATACTAGGTACGATAAGACAACAAATGATAGCTGAATAGTTGCCGTGAAGAGACTTAATTTCTATTTCACACTTTGAATTTATCGTTGAGGTTACCCTCGTAATGCCAACAATCGTCATACTAATGTCAGACTGAGGTAACTGAAGTTTTTCAACAAATCGCTGTGTAACGAAATTCGACTGACTTCCCGAATCTAGAAGTAGTCTGCACTGATGTGCCTTCCCAGAATTGTCATTCGCCAAAACAACCGCTGTGGAAAGAAGGACTTGACCTGAAGTTACGTTGTATGAAGTAAGAGATTGCCTTACAGGAGCTTGACTGGAGCTTGAACCTGTATTACCCTGAAGTGGGAGTTCACTGCTCTGTGAACTTGATGAATGAAGCAATGAATTGTGCTTACTGTCACACTTTGAACAATGACCATACTTACATGAATCTGATTTATGACCTGGCCACAAGCAGTTTAGACATAGTTTTAATGAATTGACTTTCTTGACCCTATCAGGGATCGAAAGACGAAGAAATTGAGGGCAAGCATAAATTTTGTGATTCGCATTGCAATTTTGACAAGACTTATTTGAAGTATAGAAAGATTTCGAAGCATTCCGCTCTGATTTGAAGTCTTTGGGTTTTCTATTGGGTGGAAAATCAAAAGGCTTCTTTTGGCCTTCTAATTTCATAAGAAGATTAGCCTTATCACGTAGAAACTGCAACAGATCTGTTAGTTTTGGTGAATTGTCTGAATGACCTTTTGCTTCCCACTCTCTGACTGTGAGTCTAACTTGTCCGTGATAAGAAAAACTAACAATGAATCCGCGGTAGGCTCATTGAAGTTTTGTAAAGCACGATAATGTTTGTTGACATGATCTACGATTTTCCTTAGACCAGTTGAAGATTCCTTACTTACTTGTAGACGGAATAGCGTGAAGAGTCTTGATATGTTCATGAACCAAAGTTCTTTTGTCTGAATAACTGTCACATAGACTGCGCCATGCAACTGAAAAATTCTCTTTGCAAACTTTGATTGGCGCGATAACATCTAAAGCGGGGCCCGACAAAGCCGCTTTCAGATATACGAAACGTTGATAATCACCTATTTGACTGTTATGCAAAATAAGAGATTCAAATGCATCGTGAAATTCAATCCAATCCTCAATGGCACCTGAAAAGCGAGGCATGTTTATAGTGGGCAGTTTTATCGAAGTGACATCATTTATAGAAAGCGTCTGTATCTGCGGTACATTTGCATCGCCCCTCGTATGCACAGAAGTTGGAGGGCTGCCGCTGCCGCCTGACCGCCCAGCCGACACCTGCGTGCGCGTTGGTGCCGCTGCCGCCGAAGCGGAAGACTGATTGTCGTCATATTTTATCAAACACTGTGTGGCTTTCGCGACCACTGTATGAAATGTATTTTCAAACTGTTCCCGTTCGAGGAACTCAGGTTCTAAATCTTCTATGAAAATCTCAATTTCAGCTTGAATTTGATTGAATTCATCTAACAAAGATTCTGCCTTGTCTAGACGATTTCTCAATTCAACTGTATTTATTACCTGTTCATCGGCATTGTCTAGCTGAGATACATATTTCTTGAAAATGGTTAAACGTGATTTTATTCCACCGCGTTTTACTTTTAAGGATCTTAATTCTGATTCCATGGCTGAATGGAGTTTGAATGTATGAATGCGAGAAATAACTGATATGAAAGCACGTGAAATGCAAATAGCAATGAAGCAGTGCTGATAGGAAGGAAAGGCAATGAAAATGGAAATGCTCACTTCCCTGACTTGTTTTCTCGCTGGCTGCTCGCCGGCCGTCCTGTGGTGTGCGGATCCCTGCTGTTGTTCCCTTTTGGTATGGACTCTCAGCTGAAGGCGATCTGAACTCGCTGCTTCCCACAAACGGTGATCTTCGCTCGAAGGACCAAACCTTGTATATGAATTGATGAATGAACTTTGACACTGATGATTGTTTATTGTATTGACTAAATGTAACAACAAACTGTATGAATTGTCTGAATGATTTTTCTTGATTGCCACGCCCGTCTGCTTTGATGGTCGGCGCGTGAATGTCTCGTCTCGTTCTTCGGGCGGTGTTGCCAGATGTGTACAGATGTCTGCAGAAGTTGCCGGAACAGAACGTATTCGGGCAATGGAACGCAAAAGAGTTTATAAAAGAACCGAACCCTACATTTACTGAGGACCTGCTCGGATTTAATATGAAAGCCGCAAGGGTCAAAGTGGGTCTCTTAACAGGACACTGTCATCTGCAGAGAGCATGAGGAAACCCCAATGCATCTTTTCCCTCTACGAAAGTCTGGCAAGGGTGAGGTTTCAGATATTTGGAATCACGAATCCACCAGCAAAAAGTTACGTGCTAAGATCTGTGTCAAGGCTGTAGAATTTGTATAAAAGATCAACGATGAACTGGACACAGGGCTTAGGCCCGTATCGTCAGTCGTCCCTACAATTGTAGGGCGGCTTTATGGCTTCCTTGATTGTCATAGTTTTCTACTTCTCCGTGTCAGACCTCTATTTTGAGGTTATGTCACAAACATCTATTTGCATCAAATTGTGCTTGCTTTTGAGTTGTATCATGTTTTATCAGCCTGAAATTTCCTACAATTTAAAAAGAAAACATATGCTCACAATAGGAGAGCGCTGAAGCTGACACGGGACAAGTGTAATCTATAAATTTTTGAAGGAGAGAAAGGAGTATGACAATCAAGGAGGCCATAAACGCGCCCTACAATTGTAGGGCGCCTTTATGGCCTCCTTGACTGTCATAGTTTTCTACTTCTCCGTGTCAGCGCTCTATTTTGAGGTTATGTCACAAACATCTATTTGCATCAAATTGTGCTTGCCTTTGAGTTATATCATGTTTTATCAGCCTGAAATTTCCTACAATTTAAAAGGAAAACATATCTTCACAATAGGAGAGCGTTGACCCTGAGACGGGACAAGTGTAATCTAGAAATTTTTGAAGGAGAGGAAGGAGTATGACAATCAATGAGGCCATAAACGCGCCCTACAATTGTAGGAACGACTGACGATACGGGCCTAAGACATTGTATATGGAGGGCCACAATAGGATCCCAACGGGTCGTTTTTGTGTTTAGGCTCGCAATATAAGCCCTTACCGTATAATCTGTAACATATCGCATAGGCCACTGTTAACTTGGGCACGGTGAGATTCAAGGACAGGAACACAAAGGCACACCACGTGAGCAGTAGTGGCATACGTCGAGTTATGCTACTTTTTTCCTAGTTCCACTGTTTGGTTGACAAATTAAGGAAGAACTATTTGATCACTTTCATCTATTAGAAACCTCATTTGAAATCGAAAACTAAAATACATTTTTTCAATTCAGTTTTCAGTTTGTTGGTAGCAGGAGCTGTAACGATGGGCTTATATTTCGTGGATTCTACGACATCCAACTTGGTACTATCCTGTATTTTCGAAGCGCTCACCAGTTTAGGAATTAGTACTGTATATTGCGTCATGGTAGACTTGTTCCCCACGAATTTGAGGTAACTACTACTATCACTTTATCAATAACATTATTATTAGGGGTATGCAGCATTCTTTCGCCTACTTGCAAGTGAACGAATAAAAAATTCAAAAATTCAAGCCAGTTCCGTATTACTCTTATAGAACGTTTGCCAAATATAATTTCTACATGTTGTGAAATAGATCGCCTCGGAATGCTTGGAATATTCGCAAGGGCAACATCGCACTGCCAAAGTGTCTAGCTCATACTGCAACTTGAATAATTGACTATTTGCTATTTGCCATACTGTTCCATGAGCATTGTGAAAGTATATAATGGGTGGGCCATCTATCGGTTTCGATTTGAACCACGTGTTAATTTGACGCTGACAATACTTATGTCAATCTGATTTGTCATAAAATTCAGTATATTATCTCCGCTGAACGAAATGAATCGATTTACGCTTGAGCAACGTTGGGTAATATTGGAAATTTATTTCCAAAACAAAGACAATTGGGCAGAAATTGCACGAAAATGCCGTTCAAAATTCGGTCGCAACGAAGCACCAACAGCGCCCGGTATACGCAAGTTTATTAATAAAGTGCGTGAAACTGGTTTCATTGTTGATGCTCCAACACGTCAGCGTGCTCGTACAGTGCGTACACCCGAAGGTATCGATGCTGTGGCTGCGAGTGTGCGTGAAAATCCATCAACGTCAACACGTCATCGTTCCCAAGAATTGAACATTTCCCGCACCAGTTTACGACGAATTTTGCGGAAAGATCTCGGTATGACGCCTTACAAAGTTCAATTGGTTCAAGAGTTGAAGCCGCGTGACCATCCACTTCGTTCTGCCTTCGCTACATGGGCCAACGAGCAACTAATCAATGATGTCGATTTTGCGAAAAAAATAATCTTTTCAGACGAAGCTCATTTTCATATTGGTGGCTACGTCAATAAGCAAAATTGCCGTATCTGGGGCTCGGAAAACCCACACGAGGTCTTAGAGAAGCCAATGCATCCCTTGCGAGTGACTGTTTGGTGTGGATTGTGGAGCGGAGGCATCATTGGCCCATATTTCTTTGAAGACGGGGACGGCGCAACCGTTTCTGGCAATGGAAACACCTATCGCACCATGATAACTGATTTTTTTGTTCCTGCTCTTGATGGTATTGATGTGGAGAATGTTTGGTTTTAGCAGGATGGTGCAACTTGTCACACATCGCATGCCACAATCAACTTATTGCGCGAAACCTTCGATGGCCGTTTAATCAGTCGAAATGGTGATGTCAATTGGCCGCCAAGAAGCTGCGATTTGACACCATTGGACTATTTCCTGTGGGGCGCTGTTAAAGACAAGTGTTATGTCGACCATCCAGAGACAATTGACCATTTGAAGGCCAACATTCGTGATGCCATTGACGAGATACGGCCCCAAACACTCGAAAAAGTGCTCGAAAATTGGTCCGATCGAATGGGCTACTGTGAGGCCAGCCGCGGCAGCCATTTGAATGAAGTAATATTTCATTTCTGAGCGGAACAATTGTACTTCAAAACAAAAAAATAAATTTGGCAATATCTCAAACCGTTTTTGTTTTATTTTATTTTTAAATCGAAACTTTTAAATGGCCCACCCATTAGATTTACTGTTCTCCGCATTTTGGACAATCGTTAATTTGTTGGCTGAATAAGATCTGTTTGCTTGCTGTCTCTGTGACCATGACCAACCGCATACACCGTTGTTTCATGCTTGTTAGCTATGATCACTATGGTATAGGTCTTGTCTTGGAGATATGTAAAAGGAAAGCAAATAAGCAGATATGATCTACTGAAAAACTCAGTGTGTAGTGCTCGAGTAAGTCATATTTCACATGTGGCAGTATCACCCAACGTACCATTTACTTGCGCAATCTTATGTTGTTTAAAATAGTCCCGATGTCAGATTTCGGGATCTGGAGCAAATTTTCCGCACTTTTACTGTGACCTTATAACAATGGATTATAAATGAAATGATAATCAGAGTTTCAAGAAAAAATGTGAAATAATAACCAAGCCTTCTTGTATTTAAGGGTAATGGCAGCAGCACTGTCACTCACTTTTGGTAGAGGTGGAGCACTGATAGGAAACCTACTGTTTGGTTTCCTTATAGACTTGAATTGCGTCGTGCCAATAGTATTATTCGCATCTATGTTGATAGGTAAGTTAGCATTATCTTTCATTATCGTTCATGAAAACTTCCAGCATAAAAAATCTATAATTTTTACAATTTCTGACTATGCACTTTGTTGAATAAGGCTGCGAGGTGGCCGAAAACGTTAGTGGAGTAATTTTTCTGTGATTCCATATTTGTCGGCTTGAACATACCTAGATGACTCAAAGAGACAATCACATGACATGTTTTGGAAGTTTGATTAGTAAAAGTATTGCTCTGAAATTTTTTATCGGTTATACAAATGTTGTTCCATCAATCTGACAAATTATATGTAATTCATAAAGTTCACCTAAATAGTTGCATATTAATTATATTTCTTTTTTTTTCAGGAAGTGGACTCCTCTGTCTAATGTTACCAAACACGGGTAGAGATACTCTAGATTAGAAATTAGATATACTAGTACCTATATATTTTTGTAACATGTACACAAGACGAGTCACGTAGGTCTGAATGAAGTAGCAGATATATATTTTTGTATATTGTTTTTGAATCAAATGACAGAAGAATAGTATACGTCCAATGAGATTCATGACCTTGAATCATTATTCATGCCTGTTTGTGCCTTATTCATGTAAAATGAAAATAGTGTTCTGGAGGAAGGCTCCGCAGAATGCCATGAAATAAAACATGCATAATAGAACGTGGAATATACCATAGAATATACAGGATGTTTATTAGACATGAGACAAAACAAGCAGTCTGGGCTATTGTGTTGTTTGACAGTTTTTGAGGTGTCTTACTGTTTCACAAGTCCTTGCCGTCACTATTTCGTAGTATCAGGAAAACAATATATATCATGATTATAACAATATCTTTTAATGAAAATGCATAATTATCTAACCTGTTAATCTACATGAATTGCTAAAATAACTAAATCCACTCTGAATGCAATAGTCCATCCAGTATTCTCATACATGGCGAGTTCTTTGAAAATATTGTTTTATATCATTGGAAAATATCAACATCGTCTAATATCGAGTTACGTTCAACGTCAACCCAACGTTTCGCACTTTCAGCGGTTTTTACCAATTTTTGTTGTACTACACACACAACACACCCACACACATCGTAAGGGAGACATTTAATTTTTGTCGCATGTTTCAATAAATATTCCGTTCCTACGCTATAAAAGATCTAGCAACATTAGTTATATAGAATTTGTAAACAAGAAGCTGCATATTTTTTAGGTATAATTTTCGAGAAACAAACTAAGCGATAAACAGTATGTGATTGAAAATTTGGACTTCAAAGAAGTACCTTTAAAGAATAAAATCCTCATTACAACCGCGCGAAGAGCATATCAATAAAAAAAATGAACAAATGATATAAAAGACGCAAGGTTTTTATAAATATAATAGGAAAAAGTTGAGATTTCATTTCGTTATTAATTTGTTCTTCCAACTGTTGTTACAAAAAAATCGGACACAAAAAAAAAGACAGTGATTCTCCAAGCAAAACATATATTTAACAAAGAGCACATTTTATTCTTCATTATAGTTTAGATACTCAATGTCTGTGTTTTATCTATAGTTTACTTGGTATGCAGTTATTACGAGTAGTATTATCTTAATACCCAGTGTGTCAGTTTTTATTGAAGCTGGAAGGAAATAAATATATTAATATAGGTAAAAATTGTCAAAAGCGGCAATGTTGCAAATAATTTCATGTACCTACCAGTAAAAATTCGCGTCTATTCACCCTCATTAGATTTCAGATTTATTTGCCCAGATTTGTCGATCAGCGGGTGCGTCACCAGCGATTTCACCAATCCCGTAGGCTCGATTTCATTCTATCAGTTGTACCCGTGGACGCGTACCTTGAACTTGAATAAAGTAAACCGAGGGATTCTGGTTCAACGATTGTTCTATTAAACTTAAGAATACCTAGATAATAAATCGGATCATTCTTCAAAGCGTCAATGGAAACTGTACCGTTATTCCGATAGTTCAAATGCTTTTTTATATAGACAAACATTGATCTTGTTATTTTTTTAGGAATGTAGAATTGTAAGACATAGTATTGTTAAGCTTTATTTATTATGTAAATAAATTTTTGCAAACTTAACATTCACTTTCATAAATGTCAGGTCCAAGAAAGTATAAGTCAATAAATATAAGTTATGAGTACATAAAAAATGTGAATACTTGAGTTTTATTTGTATTTGACTAGATTTTACTTTCGAATTCCACTGTCTCTGTAAAATCAGTTTTAAGTCCGAGTTTTGCAATGACCATGTATACCTGCTTATATGCATCAGAGATCTACCATCATTCACATGCCAAACTTGAAAACCTGATAAGAATACAAACCTAGATTACAAGTATGTTATCTAGGAGTTGAAATGTATTTTACGCGAAGTTTTCAACTTCGACTATCACCATTATAGTTTTTTCAACATGCAATGCGCACTCAACTCAAATAAAAGCGATCTGTTAACGGTTCAGCTTGATCAATACCTCACACTTTGCTAGAAACAAGACCTAACTTCTTTCAAAATTTTCTCTGTATTTTTTAACCAAATCTGATATTACCTATGAGCAACAATACAAACATTTTCTAGCGTCACTTGAGAATGAACATAGTAATGTAAATGACATTTGAGGCCAAGTTGGCTCAAGTAAAACAATCGTCCATAATTAATAACATTTTTACTTCTCCTGCCTACTTCAGCTTTCTCATCACGTGTGAGACCAATTTCAAGGTCTCTTTCACTCTGTTTCAGTTGTTCTATATCCTCTGCTTTCCTGCGATCTCTACTCAGGCCAGTGCCGCAAGTAGCCCAGCTGGCCATTCCGCACATTATGTAGAAGTCCTGCTGGGTCAGGTTGTTTTCTTGTAAGAACTGTTTGCCTGTATATGAGGTCCAGCGGCATCTGGAAGACAATGATGCGGACTCTATAAATTCACACATTCCATGAAATTTTGCTTAAGGGTGTGACTACCGAAATTCGCCAACGACTTCTAATTAGTGAAATTATCAAATTCCAACGTTTTGTCCAGCAGTGTAGGTCTAAAAACGAAATCGTGGAATTGTTAATGTCCAACATTTTTGTAGGCAGTGAAGGTCTAGAATCTCGAACGCGCGCCTGTTATAAGTAAGTACCCTCTCCAAGCAACTTTCTTTTTCACTTTACCATGGAGCTAATAATAATTATTAATAAAATATTAATAATTTGAATAATCAACCTGTTCATTGGTACATTGGTATTAACGATAGAGTTGTTACTTCAACACCAAGCATTGACGAATAGTACATTTCCATGTTCATGACATGATTGGTAAGATCCACCCAATCCACTGATGCAAAGGATGTATTTCCATCTGTAGATTCTAGACAGAAATTTCGGGTAGAAAGTACCAGGTACATGTCATGAAAGTAATGTGTAGTACTGATATTAAAAAGCAATCCTTCACTATGAATTATATTCAGGGGAATGACCAGATGTCTTAACCACAACCACGGATTTAGAGGGGGAGGGGTGAGGGGGCGCCCCACTCCAAGACGTCCAAGTCTGCCACTTTTTCAAGAAATTTGTATACTGACTTCGAAGTTGAGTCATTTATTTTAACAGTGAGTAGATCTGATCAAAAGAAATGTTTTTTTCCCTTAACAGTTTTGTGGTAAAATTAAGGTAACAAAGTTATAGCCCTTTAGAAGTTTGAGTACCACCCTGTCTCAATAATAATATTATGTGCTCGTGTTTGGCGACAACGGATATAATCCGCCTTATCGGTTCATCGCATCGGAAACAAAAAAGCGAAAGAATTTGAAACGCGTATCACGATGTTTTTACTACAATTTTATTCAGTTGTATTCAGTCAATGTGTCAGTCGGTAACGCGTGAGTGAATAGTGGTGTTTGTTGCGTGGCTCAAACGAAATAAAAAATGTTTACGAAAATGCTGAACTTGTGGACATGATTCTTATTTACGGGGAGGGGGAGTCTTTACAAAATGCTGCCGCGATATCACGGATTTATGCGGATCGGTTTCCCAATCGAGTGCAACCAACCCCTCGTGCCTTTGTTAATGTAGTACAAAGGGCTCGTGAATCAGGTGACTTAAGACCTCACAGGGGAGCGCATGCTCCAAGACCGCACGATCAAATACAGGTCCGCACTGAAATACTTGTCGGGAGGATACTTTATAAAATAAGGTAACATTTTTTTTTTATTTTTACACACATATTTTGGTTTATCTTCCTTCTACAATCATTATCTGAAAATTAATGACTCAACTTCAAAGTCACCCTGTATATTTATCTTGGTACAAAAATTACTGTTATACCTGAAGCATACATAAGCTCCCTCTCTTCTAGGCATACCCCATCCCCCACTCATCAATTGTCACAAGCATTTGATCTCAGACGCGCTACTCAAGTCGCTAAGCAGGCAGCTGGCTCCCCCACTCCTCTGCTCTTCAATTTGAGATGATCATCTTCCTAAACGGTTTCTAGATCCGCCTTGCTTAACTTCCATCATATCAGGCGTTTTTGGATTAAGGTCAATGTAGATTGTAGTGTTATTGGTTAATATAAAATTGGCGAGTGACAAATTGGCCTAGTTACCACCATGGGACAAAGATATGCAAAATATATGCTAAGAAAGCTATGAGCGCCAAAAACAGATGAAGCTGATGAATTTATAAGGTTATTCACATAAAGGCTGCTTCCACTCTTAGAAAAATTATTTCTCTAAGGAATGGAGTGTAATAATATTAATGGAGATGGACCTGACAACTAGACTACATTTTGCCATTTTTGCTAATTACTAATGGGGTTTGGAATAATTTGTGTAACAAAAATTTGCAAACTCTGATTACATTACCACAAGAAACTACAAGAATAACAAATAATAATCTTACCTATGATGACAGCAGAATGTGAAGACGCCACCAGCTACCTTATTTTGAGCAGCATTACCCAAGCACCTAAGGGCTAGATCAGTAGCAACACCACAAAGATGCTTGGTTACCCCAACAACATTATCACTTTTGTCTACATTATCCAACTTATTAAGTACTATATCAGATATATCAGCTCTTATCCTTTTGATTGAATCAGAGTTCCTTGCTAGTTTATTATCTTTTTTATGCTTTGGTGATGCTCTCTCTATAAGCAAAACTGAAGAAGTGTCTTCAGGGTTTACAGCTTGAGCAATCCAGAAACTTAATTGTCCCCTGCCTGCTCCAAACTCAATATAGCAGGTATTTGGTTTGATCAAATTATATTCCTCTAACAATCCTAATATTGAAGAGTTCTGAATCAGATGTTTTTTAGCCTTATTCCCATGTTCTGGCTTAGCAATCACTTCTTCAACAACATTATTGCTCAATATTTTCTCTGATAATACATTTGAGACAATGGTATCAAAAATTTTGTTAACTTTGAGTATTGTTTCTTTGATATCAGCTACAGAAAATGTAGATAATAGTCTATAGGAGTCTAATCCATCATCATCTACATCCATCCCATTCAAACCACAGTTTATACCTTCTGATAAGTAGGGCTGGGTAGCTTTCGCTCTGGCATTACATATTTTCAAGTGCTTTTCGAGTTTATGTGCATAGCAAGTGTGTTTTTTATCTAAGGGGCATACAATCCGCACTTTGTCTTCTGGTACGCCAGATATTTTGATGTCTACCTTCTGGTGCTCTCCACAATAGTCTTCACCTAGTTTCACTGTCATTTTACAATACCTTTTTTTACGAAGGACGAAATATTTACAATGATGAAAATGATCTGCTTTATCCATGAATGGCTGTTGTATTTTCCTGTCAGAATTTTGAATGCAGAAATGAAAAAATTCTTTAGACTTCTTTCAAACACCAAATTACAAAACGTATTCACTTTTCACTTAAATGATGTTGGATCCTTAGCTGTCACTTCAGGCAGGCGTATCCTTTCATTCACCGGTTGATTCTATCACTGCTGGATCAGGTGAACTTATCGTTCGATGTTATGACGTCAGCAAACTGATTCCATTGAATGGTGGTCAATAAAGTTGTATTTAGCCTTCAGGTTCCTGTGATATGAGAAAATATAGCATTTGTCTTATCGTGCTTGGATGTTTGTTAATTTGAGCTTCGTAACGCTTATTTTATATAATATATACTTATTTCTTGGTAATTCTCTAGCTTAGCTACCAGCTGTTTTCGATGAAAAAATGATTTCAGGCCCTAGTTTTTGGATGCAGATAAAATAAATGGGACTGAAAATGAGCGCAAATGTGAAAGTTCTGGAATATTTTACTATATATTCTAGTCTATTCTGGTGCAGGCACACTGAAGGCTTTATTTCCAAATACCTTATGCATCTTCATAGGATGCTTGACCTGTAACATGTAAAAACGACTTTTCAAATTGATTATGTAGTTCAAAATAAAATCACTTGCCTTCAGGTGCTCTGTATATTTCGGACTCCTATATTGCAGCACAAATTCGACCTTTTCTGCTTAGATTTCAATGTTTTTGAGACACAAAACTGCAGTTGTCAAAAATCGTTAGATGGACCTTGCCAAGGCTTTCGACACAGTTCCTCATGATAAGCTAATCTAAATTCTTCACAGCAATGGTATAAGGGGAGTGGCTTATGATTTACTGAGGGATTATCTTTCAAACAGACCACAACTGATAAAACTAAATAACATAACAAGCAATGAAAAAATAATAAAGATTGGTGTTCCGCAGGGTACTGTTTTGGGACCGCTCCTTTTTATAATTTATATCAATAAGATGCTAAAGCTGGACACGAGGGGCTTAACTATTTCTTATGCTGATGATACTGTACTTCTCTTTGCAGGTTCTAGTTGGGAGGATGTAAAGTGTAAAACAGTGTATGGTCTAGGTATGGTAAAAGACTGGTTACAAGAGGTAAACTAACTTTGAATTTATCTGAGACAAACTATATTGCGTTTTCGTTGACCAATAAAAACAGACCAAATTACAGCACTATTATGTTGGATGATAATTATTCTGTTCAGGAAGTGTCTCAAACTAAATACCTTGGAATCATTATTGACCAACATTGTGGCAGCCGCATGTTGATTATGTATCGAGTAGAGTTAGAAAATTAATCCATAAATTTTATCTACTGCGTGACTTTCTCGATAAAAAAATTTAATAACAGTTTATAAAGCATTTGTTGAATCTATAATTAGATATGGGATATTAGTATGGGGGGATTCTATAATAATGCTCTACATAAACTCATTATTATTCAGAAATATATTATTAAAATTATATTTAAGAAAGATAAAAGATTCCCCACTAATAAACTTTTTACAAAGGATGTGTGTAATATTAGATCCTTGTACGTGATGACAGTATCTACTTTTATTTATAGAAATGAAAAACTACAGAAACAAGTAAGTCATAACTACTGTACTCGTGCAAATGTGGGCAGGCAAATAGAAATTCCCAAGAATAACAATAACCTAAACTTAAGATACATAACGTATATAGGACCAAAGATATATAACATTCTGCCAGAACGCTTGAAAAAGTTGGAAAATATTAAAACATTTAGCACCAGCTGCAGAGAATATAATTTTGAGAATACTGCACAATTTGAAAGGTTTTTCTAATGATTTTTTGTATCATAGTATGATTGAACTATTCGGGATATTGAGGTTGATTATTGTTTTTTTTATTGTATTTTATAATCCAATAAATAGCATTTTATTTTCTTTTGTAAGTCCGGATGATGAAAGCACATACAGGTGGTTTGAACCATTTAGGTGGGCCTTTCTGTCATCAGGATGTCCTTGATGAAGAGGAATTATACAGGGTGTCCGCAAAGTTGGGGTTTTCCTTTTCAGAAACAACTACCCTTGAAATAACAAAGGTAATGTGTAGTGAAACGAGGGCGACCAAGTACAAAAAAAATAAAGGAAAAAGTACTCACTCTCCAGTTGACGAGAAGGGCTAAGTACGTCTCTGCCCGAAATCATACCGCTCCAACAGAAAATGAAATCAGCTGAAGCGCTACCGAGCAGACGCAGAAACCACATTGATTGTCTTACACTTAATGGCACATCTTCTAACAAGGAAGGCAAAATGTTGCGTGAAAAGTCTAGGTATTGCATCCCGTCCAATCGATTTGGGAGAATAAATGGTCCAATGAGCATACCGTTCACCATGCCAGCCCAAACATTCACCGAAAATGTTTGTTGAAAATGACCAAACACGAGTGTTGCGAAAGTTATTCACCCCAGTACGCGTGAACGTAGATTCGTCTGTCACCAATATGCACTTCAAAAAGTCCGGATTATTGTCATGTTGATGCAACAACCACTCACAAAACCGCACTCTTGCTGGAAAATCGTCAGGTTGAAGGGCTTGTACACGTTGGACGTGAAACGGATACAGCCCCTCTTCACGCAGCGTTTGCCACACTTTAGTTTTTGATACTTGCACTTCTCTAGCCACGTCTCTAGTGCTTGTTGTTTTTTGAAACGCAATCGATTATACGAGTTCGTTGACCTCTACACGCGTGAGTGTAGCCGTCGGTTGAAGGTTGCATACTAACCTGACACATTGACCCCGACCCAGTTCTGCAGTCGGGTTGAGACCTTGTACCAGTCGGGGTGTCGGGGATATCCCGGCGGGTCGCGGCTACAGGACGGTATTCAGATATTTTTGATGTTGCAGAGCCCTTTATCTCGGTTCCCTTAAGACATTGGTGTATATGGTACTAAGAAAAATTGCTTATGTTTTCAAGATCTACACGTCGTGTAAAGGAAAACCCCAACTTTGCGGACACCCTGTATTGTTGTGTTATATATTTATGTGTATTTATAATTTTTTCTATGTGGCCTTTGTTGGATATTATTGTTATTAAATAAATAAATGTGTAAATAAATCTGTACATGGTAGAATATCTTGTCTGTTCTTAAACAAACGTGTCCAAACGTCGGTCGATGCTGTTGGCGGCCGTGGCGTATACACCAACAATATAAAGACAAGTTTGGTATACAACCGGTCGTTTCAGCGGAAATTAAAGAAAGTAAAATTGGCTTTACCGGTTGGACCGGTGGCTCAACTGGTGGATTAAAGAATACGCCTTTCGCTTTACCCAGTTGCATGTCAATAATTAAATCCAAGCGAATAACCAAAATGTCTGTGTTATGTGCCGCGGTTATAATATGGTTCAAGATGACGCACGGGTTGATGACGTCAGTTACACGAATCGCTTGAACGCGTTGGTTTTAACCGCGGTTTTGTTGCAAGTTGTTTATTTTAGAAAAGCGCGTATATAATCTCTGATTATTTTTATTATCACTTAATAATCGGTGCTTTTTCGTCTACAACTGTGTATGGAAAGTTTAAAAAAAGAAACCTTTCATAATATTCATGGGAGAAATGTTTTTTTTTCAGAATTTTTTTTTAACGATGGAACCATGGCTTTGTAGCTATGATAACTTTCAATTCTCTAAAGTTTTCCGCATGTCAAAGAAAATATTTATTGATTCAGCAGAAATGATGAAAAAAAAATTAGCAAAACTGAATACAGGTGGACATCATCTAGTGAGTTTATATGGCCATATTTTAATATTCTTGTGGTATATGGCTACACAGGATAGGTACTTTTTTAAGCATAGGAACTACATTTAAAGTGTCCCCAATAACAGTGATGAGTATAACTAAAAAGGTGCTCCACTTTATGGTAAAACTGAAGTGCCTGTATGAAGTTTCCCAAAAATGAAGCTGAAGTACAATAACAATATCCAATAGCCGGCAAAATTCTAACTTGTCACATTTCAAATAATAACCAGAAATATAAAACAACTCCTGAGTTGGGTAAATACCACAATTTTACGATGATAACTATGTCATATAACAGCTGATTCATGACGTCACGGATCTTATAACCAAACTGATAACCACACTCGCTTGAACGGATCGGTAAATACCAACCCAAAATAGTAAATACCATTTTCATTTGGTTATCCGCTTGAATTTGATTAATGGTCAATGGTGACATTAAGCTGTCAGAAAAGACAAAAGTATAAACAGCAGATCTTATATCTAGCAAGAATTTTTTATTAAAAAAGCTGTATGAACCATGACTGTCAGCCTCAATCTCGGTATCTGGGATCCTAGCGAAATCAAAAACATCAAAATTCATGAAGTTGATTTGGACACAAGTGTGGCTGAGTTCAAAACCAAGACGGAAAAACTTTTAAAAAAAGATTTGTCCAATTTAGGTACCTTTTTGTTATCATACTGGTTTATTCAATCAAGAGCTAATGTTCGTCTTTATAGAGCTCATTTATTGCGGCCAAAAGCTTCAGAACCATAAAAGCCTATCTTCATATGGGGTAAAATCTGGGGCAACAATCCACATCTTCCATAAAATAAATGAAGAACAAGTTAACGAGCAAAAACCTGATCCTGGTTTTGTGACGTCGTTTAGAACACTCTCACTCTTAGCTGGCTATAAAAACATATTACAGGTAATTCAGTTTGTTTTGGTAATCACAACAATTTTTTTTTTTTCATCAATTGATATTTAACACATTTTACAGCTAAAGACCTAGTTAAGGATACATTTATTTCTTCTTCCCTTCTTTCATTTGTTTCATATTTGGGCAACCAGAGCTGATAGACACCTTTAACCAAGAGTAAATATCCTATGACCACTCTGATTGTAATGATGGATACAAGTTTTCTTAAAAAAATACTAATTTGATATTATTAATAACTAACTTTATTTTAGAGATTTGTTAGAAGAGATATGCTTGAAAAACTAATAGAAAGCACCCCCGGTTTGTTAGAAGATCCTGGTGCTATGGCTATTGTCCAAGATCCAGAGTTGATTGTCCACCTATTAGATCTTGATAATGTTGCAGAAATTGTTGCAGAGCATCCTATTTTGATGCATGCAGCTAACAATATACTGAAGATTGCACAAGAAGAGGCATCTGATCCCAACCAAAGTAGAGCTACTTCCAGTACTGGGTAAGGTTATTTCTAAACCTGTACTTAAAAGTTATGGTTGGTAAAAGTATGTGACCTCAGATATCATAATTTATGCTATATTTGAGCCTTTGGATAAATTCCCATTTAGTTTTATTGAAATTTATGAATGAACCTTCCCAAAAAATCCATGGATGCATTTTTGGTGTGTCTGGATATTTCATAAACACCCTTTATGTTTATGCCTTTAGGTACTCATACTCGCTGGATGCTTTGTCAGACGATGATGATGACATGGACTCAAACTCTGACACAAACTTGAGTCAGAACCAGTTGTCCCGCAATGCCTCGTTCAATGCTATCACCGCAGCACAATTGGCAGCGGCAATTGCCAATGCAACCAACACTGCTTTCAACACGAATAGTGCTGGGATTCCCACAACCAGCTCTGGTGGCAATATCATCACCACAGAGATGTTTTCTAATGCCATACAACAGGCATTTGCATATGGAGGTAATTTACTTAAAATTAAATTAAAAAAGGACTTGAGAATTACACCCAAATTAAGTGTCAGGAGGATTTTAAGTGGAAACACTAGTTAGGTACTGTCTACCACAAAACATCTGCACATCTACCCTCAAGACTTGAAGTGTTACCTTCATTACCAAATCATTTGGAAGACTGGTAGCATTGTCAATGACACTGACAATGATCATTGCATGTATATAGTAGTAGTAGTAGTAGTATATTTAGCCAAATTTCAAACTAAAGTTCACATGGCATGTCAAAAGTAGTATAACAAAAATATCACAATAAATGCAAATGTAATACAAAGTCAGTTAACAGAGCTTGTTACACCACACTATAAATAAAACAGGATAAAAAAGTACAATACAAGTTCATTCAGCAAGGTCAAGGTTAAAATTAGACAAAAATAGCGACTTGCTAAAACACTATATAAAAAATATAGATTAAAAACATAATGCTTACTGATTTTGAAAATTTAAAAATTCATTTATAGGGTAAAAACATTTCTCACTTGAAAACCTTATTTTTAAATTCCATATAGTTCTCTATATCTCACAGATCTCAAAGTAGAGTATAGTATAATGATATGTAGTTGAACTGCAGTGATTTTGTATATGTAATAGTGTGATGTTCATTTTGTATGCTGAAATCATTGATGTTTCACTTTACATAACTTTGCATAAATACATGGAATTGTTAAGAGATTATTTTGAATGAGTGTGTTTTTGCAACTTTCGCCAAAACTAAGGTTGAACAACAATCTAGTTATGTATTCACTTTTGTGATATAAAAACTCTGTTGATGCTTGTAGCTCTACACCAGCATAGGTGGTTATAAGATAAATCACTATGCGAGAGCATAGTATAGTGATAATAGGCTCTTTGTATCTAAATATTGCTATATAGGAAATATGGCATAATAGCCTTTATTTAAATTCAGATACACATTCTCAGTTTGGGTGCTGAACTCGATTTGTTCATTAGGGAATTTATTGTTTTCATTACATAATTTTCCGTAATATATTTAACGAAAATAGAATTTGATGGATTTGATACTCAATGTGTACAAGGTAGCACCATATTCTGACCAAATGAGTTAGCAAGTTTTTTATTGCATATATTAGAAAAGTAATATGTAAAAGTGTTACTAATTTCGCTTTTAAGTTAAGTTTTCCTAAATGTTCATTAATAAGTTGCCATGTTTTGTTAGTTTTATTTGAAGCCAACTTAGGTGAGAAGTGTGTTTCCATTTTGACTCCCTGATTTTCGCTTTGTACTGTCGTTTTTTTTCTCTTGTACATATCACCTAGGTTAGGAGCCTTTAATGTAGTGAGATTGTAAAAAATATCATCTAGCTCGAACTTGATTGTTTTAGCTCAGTTGTATACCACTAGTTATGTACATGTTGCTCAGAATGAACTTTGACATTTTGATGGGGGCATGTTACGTCTAAAAACCAATTAACGGTTTTTGCAAATTCTTCATAGACCATATTGCTAAATCGTCAAAGTTAACCATTTGGTCATCCAACATTGACCATATTGTAAAATAGAGTGTCCATAGGATACTTCATAAAAATCCAGAATATATATTTTACAAACTCGTTTATTTTTCTTCAAGTACTAACGGTTTCATTAAAACTAGTAACTTTAGGAAATTAAAATATAATAATCATATTAAAACAATCTCAAATTGCACAATGTGACACAATTAAAATTGTTGAACATATCATAAATATCACAAATTGAGTTATTACCTCAGATGGTCACCGGTTTACATGAAAAATCTTCATTCAATTTGTCAAAATCCTATTTCACGAGTATCCATCACGCTTTGATGTCTACTGAGGTGAACAGCTGATCAGCAAGTGACATTTTTATGTCAGTCTGCGACGTTGGCAGTAATTAATTTGGTGTGAATCTAGTGAAACTTGTTTGTAGCGTTTTGTTTTTTATATGCAAATGGACTAAATAAAAGAGCTGAGCAAGCACAAAATGAATCTGTAGCGTACAAAAAAACCAAAACAAAATACGCCTCTGTCTCCTTGGCGTTGACAGATCTATCAGAATTATGCGTCCTGTGCCGATATGGGGAATTTTGAAGTATTACTAGATAACCAGCTGTCATTCTACCGTGGTGGTAATAATGATAACAATCATAACAATGATAATATAGATAATAATGATGATAATAATGATAATGATGATAATAATAATAATAATAGTCTGGTCGGTTAGGGTACTGTTGCCAGCAGTACCAATCCCGCTACCGTAACGACGTAGACGGTACAACCAGCGAGGCAACGTCTGGCCTCAGCGTAGTAGTTGAGCTACTGTTAATTAACATCGAAGGATAATCAGTACGGCCAGCATGCCTTCCCTTTATGCAGGTGGGATTTATGTTTCCCTTCCACACCTGAACTATAACGTCTGTATGTTAGAATGGTAACTACTCTTAGAAAAAGGGAGACACAACTACTCAGAACTGGTGAACCATAAACATAAAGCCTCGGAATGTAACGGCGTGAACGGGGCTCGTCGTCTCTCGACGAGAACCGCGCCCGGCAGGGTGCGCAGGGGAAGGTCGCACTCGGTCGTCAGTCTGCGAAATCCCCCCAGCAGTACTATACACAACGCTCAATGTTGCTGAGGATACAGAATCCCAGCCCATATTGACAGTCAGTAGAAGAAGGCATAGGACCATTTGGACTGAAGATATGAACCTATACATGGTCCGATGCTACTATAAGATTATAAAACTGGAGACATCCAAAGAACCCTACGGAACCGAACTGCACAAACAAATTACACAGTTTTATCCCCAGCTGAGCATTAAGAGTCGGCAAAATATATTAGACCAGCGTAGATCAATATTTATTAAATAATAGACTCGCAGCAGAAGAGATAAACAAGATAAGAGATGAGGTAGCGCTGGAACTGGGAATGCAGATTGCACCACAGACTCAAGAACGTCAGTACAGCCAACAGCGAGAGCCTATTGAGGAGCAGACCCAACCAGAGACAACTGGTGGAAGAAAGAGCAAGTAGGACGCTGATGAAAAGGTTACCAGCCTGGGAATATAGAATACAGCGAAATATTGATGACATCCGAAAGCAAATAGGCATTTTGACACAATACCAGAAACCTAGTCGTAGCTCAAGGGTCGAGAGGGTCGCAATCACTATTGTAAAGCGTTATCAATCAGAAGAAACCCCAACTCGACTAGAAATACTCGACCACCTAAAGCAAAAATTAGCAGCTGCTGCACTTAAGCTGAAGAGATACAAAAATAGCAACGACCGTAAGAAACAGAACAGGCTGTTTGAAAACAACCAACGCGCTTTTTACAAAAGCTTAGAACCGCAGGCAAAAGAGTCGCAGTATGAAATACCAAGCCCAGAGAATATAAACGACTTTTGGTCTCAAATCTGGAGTAACCCTACCACTCATACCAGAGGTAGCTGGTATTATAAAGAGAAATCTGCTAAATCGCGGCTAAACACCATGCTAAACTGGAGGATAAGCACGAAGGATGTAAAAGCAGCCCTAAAGCAAGCAAAAAATTGGAAATCTCCGGGGCCAGAAAAGCTACATAACTACTGGCTCAAGGTATTTCAGCACATGATAGATTGGCGAAGTGTTACACAATGATGCTCGAACATCCAGAAACGATACCAAGATTTTTAACATTTGGAATAACATACCTCATCCCAAAATCTGGCAGCTACACAAGAGATTCTTCAAAATATAGGCCAATAACTTGCCTATCTGCTATGTACAAACTACTGACACAAATAATAGCTGACAAAATCTATTCGCACCTAGAATCCAAAAGTTTGCTAGATGAGGAACACAAGGGGTGCACGAGAGACGATAGGGGGTGCAAGGAGCAACTAATAGTAGATACAGTAATAACCAGCAATGCCAAACGGGAGAAACAAACACTTTACATGGTATATGTTGACTATCAAAAAGCGTTTGATAGCATCCCGCACTCTTGGTTAGTTGATCTACTCCAGCTGTACGGCATAAACAGCCACATTAGAGACTTTTTGGCACAAGCAATGACGACGTGGACAACACAGTTATGTCTTAACACTCCAAATATGCGGGTACAAGCAGGAGAAATTGCTATAAAAAGAGGAATATTCCAAGGGGACTCATTGAGTCCGCTTTGGTTCTGCTTGGCTCTGAAACCACTCACAGCGATGCTCAATGATCTAAACTTCTAAACAGAGGAATACCCATAGGCAATAGCAAAATGCAAATATCGCATCTCTGGTACCTCAAGATCTTTGCAGCGAAAGAAAACGACTTGCACACCCTGTTGGACTGCGTTGGAAGGTTTAGCAAAGACATACGTATGACATTAGGCTTAGATAAGTGTAGAAAATGCTGCATATCAAAGGGTCTCTGGAAGGGACTCGACGGATTTGAGATGAATCAAGGTGAATGACAGATACCGAGTATGATGCCAGGAGAACAGTATAAATATCTGGGATACTTTCAGGCGCCATGTATAGACCAAAAGGCAGCAAAACACCGAACAAGGAATGAATACACAAGGCGGATAAGAGCTATCCTTAAGACTGAGGTGTCGGCAAAAAATACAGCCAGAGCCGTTAGTGCCTACGCAACCTCGATACTCACTTATACGTTTGGTATATTGAACTAGACGAATACTGAGCTGAATTCTATTGATATAGAAACAAGAAAGCAATTCCGCCTCTATAGATCCCATCACCCCCATAGTTCAATTGAGCGCTTCCATTTGCCTCGGAGGGAAGGTGGAAGAGGGATACCTAGCATTCCTGTACAACGTCACCAACAGCTAGATAATCTTCGCAAAAATTTCTTGGAGAAAGCTGCTTCCAGTAAGATGCACGAAGCGGTGAAGCAAACTGGACAACAGGAGATGATCAGGCAATGGAAAGCAAAACCTTTACACGGCCGATACCGAACCCGTATTGAAGACAGCGCTATAGATATTAGGGCTTCTCAGGCATGGCTACAATCCGGAAAAATCTGTTTTTTGAAACTGAAGGATTTGTAGCTGCAATACAAGACCAAGTAGTGCCAACAAGAGTTTATAGGAGACGGATAATGCAAGAAACAGTAGAAAATATCTATTGTCGTATCTGTGGAGACAAAGAGGAAACCTTGGACCATATTGTTGCAGGCTGCTCTTCACTTGCACCTAAGCAATACCTAGGGAGGCACAACGATGTTGCTAAAATAATACACTCAGCACTACTGCGAGAATACTTGGATGAGTCGACTAACGAACCCTACTACAGATACAACCCACCACCAGTAAAAGAAACAAGAAGCCACAGATTATACTGGAACCGAAACATAACTCACCGACCAATCCCAAATAATATCCTGGATATAGTTTTGACAGATAAAGAATTCAAGACCACTTACATAATTGATATAGCAGTACCGCTACCCACAAACCTACAGAGCACATATGCGGAAAAAAATAACAAATACCTAGCTGATGAAATAAAGCTGATGTGGGAAATGGAAAAGTAATCATCACACCAATCGTCATAGGAACAACGGGAGAGATACTAAAAAAGCTGCACCAAAGCCTAGAAAAACTAAGGTTAAATAAGGCTATATTTCATAGATTACAAAAAGCTGCATTGCTGGGTACCTGCAGGACAGTTCGCAGGGTTCTTGGAGACGAACATCCGTCTCGGTAGAAACCGTAGCAGAATTACTTCTTTCCTTTGGCTACAAGAGCCCGGGAGATGTATTATACACCCCCATATGGGGAGAGCTATTTAATATTAATAATAATAATAATACTTAGCATTAGAAACATCTACCTTCATTATGCTGTGAATTAGATCTGTTTGTTTTCTATCCATGACCAACCATATATAGCGCCATTCCATACCTCTTTGCTATCATTATTATGGGGTTTAATCCCCATGCTTCGCCCTTGACCGCTTTGCAGATGTATATTTAATGAATGCTGACAGTAAAACAGGTGATCTTGGTAGGTATGTTAAAAAATTATACGTTTAGATGTCAAACTGTATTAACATTATCTGCTTTTTTGTTTATGTGTCATAAGACTTATTTCGGGTATAAAGTGGTATCCGCCCATGTAAAATCCAGGTTCAAGTGGCATCCGACGTCATGTAGCATCCGTGTATCGGATGCCATTTGACCTAAGCATGTTCAGTGGCATAGTATGATTGTGTGAGTTTGAAAAACAAAAAACAGGAGGTTAATTGACACCGAAATTTTATTTTCAATGTGTATGTTAGTTCTAGAGTGTCTAGCCTAGGTCGCGGTAAGCTAGGTCGGAGTATATTCATGACTATACTAACCGAGGTTAAGGTGGACTCCACAAACACTGGCAACGACGTAATTCTTTGTAGTTCCATTCATAGGCCAATCTGGTACATAAATACTCTTTGAGTGTCCGTTCAGTTGAATTATTCCTAAGCAATATGGTAGATATCGTGTAAGAAAGGCGCCGCAATATCAGTTTCTCTCACTCTAGCGAGTTGGAATCAGATTTGAGGAATGAAAAGGGGTGATACGTGAATTGACGCTAAACCAAAACTCGTACGGCTTTTGACCTCGTAAAACAAGATATATTCTATTTCAGAAACCGAAGCTGTGGGTATCCTTTTTTTATAATGAGTGTTGGGGGCATGAGCAGACTTAGAGATGGTACATATTGCCGTACCTTGGTGCGAAAATTAGCTAGCTAGACCTAAATCGTGCATATGTGCGCCCCCCCCCCCCTTTGGCTTATGCCACTCCCCGCTCCTTTATTTTCAATGGTCAATACATCCCTGAACATGAATCCTACTACCACCACTGAGCCCCCCCCCCTAGACAGATTCCTAAATCCGACTCTGGCTGAGGGTTTTTATTTTCAAAGATTTAATTTGATAAATCTCGGGGAAAAATTTAGATTACATAGAAAAACTCTGAAAGAGTCCTGTCGATTGAGCATTGGG